AAAAAAGGAAAATTTGAGAATCAAACTAAGGATCTCGCGACATCCTGATTAATGTTGTCACCAAATTGAGTTAGGTCATGAAGACATACGTGTGCAAATATAATTTGCAAAGTAAGAGTATAATAATACTATTGGGTGTGAAGTTGCACCAAAAAAATAGAAAGGTAAAAATTGAATTGATAAAAACATTAAGGATACAGAGTGGAGTTAGTGCAAATTAGAAATTGCAAGAGAGGGGGTGGCATGGGTTGTAGTTTTGAACTTTGATCCCCTATAAATTTTGAGAAATGCTTTTGAATTCCTTATCTCTCTGCCCTATAATTTTGGGAAAATGACTCATTGCCTTCTGCCTCGCCTCCTCCCCAAGCTTGTGCTTTAAGAAAAGCTTTTAAAAATTTACTCGTCAAATGTTATTAGATTTTTGCATATGGCTATAGTTGATCCACTTTTTATAACTTTCGTTCAATTATTTTGGACAATGCTCTTTAATTGATTTAGATGCGAATTCTCTTGGATAGAGTATTGCATTTTAATATAGTAGCTCTATTAATCGTTGGTCTTCCTTTTTGTACAAATTATCTCAAATAATTGAAATTACAAATGGTCGGAAATCCTTGTGGTGAAAGTCTATAAGATATATATGAAGATCATTTAATCCATACTGCCTATTTAAGATTTGAGAAGTGAGATCGACTTATTTTCCAAAATTAGAGAGTATAGAGCAACTCATTTATAGTTTATATAAGTGTCTATATTTCTTGCTTTATTTGAAGTCATCTTGTGATGACGGGAATTTTCTTCTTTCTTGTTTTCTTTGTTAATTTTGTGTAAATTGAAAGACATCTTCCCATCAACATAACCACTGAACTTTGGATTAGTAGCCACTAAAAAGGAATTAAGTCCCTCTTTGGGTTGTAGTGAAAAAAATCCAAAAAAAGTGCTAGAATATTATTAGGATCCAGACGCGGAACAAACAACTATTGAGACATCAAGTGCACAACAATTTATGAGAAACAAACCACAAGCATGAAAGATAAACGATACACAATATTTAACGTGGTTCGACTCCACCATTGAGCCTACATCCACGGAGAGAAACACGTTCTTTATTATGAGAGGAAAATTCTATATAAGAATACAACTTGAACCCAAGCCCAACCCTTGTATACCATCTCTCATCTCCCAAAAACCCTCTCTCACATACCAGGTATAAGGCTACATCTTGCCCTTGTGTCTCCTTTCGTGTAGTATGCCAACCCACCTATTTATAGAGAACATTACTGCCAAACAATCGAATAACAATAGGAAACGAATACTATTTCCTAAACTCATATAGAGTAGAAAATAGCATCTAGCTAAATAAGGCTTTACTTGACTACTACTTCAAGTAACTAAAACCAATTAGGAAACTAGTTACTTCCACAGAAAACAAGAAATCTACCTAAAAGAAATTAAGCCAATTTCCTAACAAATCTCCACCTTGGCGAAAATTTTTTTTAGCAACCATTTGCCTTCAACTACCAAATAATATGGTACCAAACTACACACTCGAATCAATACAGTCCTGATACCAAATTGATTCAATCGGCAAATAAACATGTGTAGTTGCCCCCAAGTTTAACCTCCTATTAACTCGCGAGAAGGTGTCTCAATTCACCATCTCCCTTTGCAGGATTTCTTCTCACCACCACTTGCAATCCGGAATCCCCTTCTATGAGCTCTAACCCTAACCATTGAGACAACCAAGTGATAAAATCACCATACTTCTTCCCATCATCAGGACTGTCTTGCCACGTGTGGTTTCCAAGACTCCACCGGGATGAAGTATCAGCCGTTGGAGGTGTGAGAAATTCTCCACCGATTCACATCTAAAATCAGCATTGGACTCCACCTTTTCCTTGACCCTTGAATCACCTGCCTAGATTCACCGTCAAGTATCTTCAAGCTTTTCGACTTCCTATCCTTCACCATCAATGCTTTTTGCCAAGCCATTGAAATAAGGATATCACTCATTAAATTGTTCAATTAGTAACAGCTACCAATTCACTTGATCTCAATAGTTAACTAGGATCCAACCACGAACTTTGCTCTATTGCCCAGTCTCGCAACTAGGCTCTGATACCACTTGTTAGGATCCAGACACGGAACAAACAACTATTGAGACATCAAGTGCACAACAATTTATGAGAAACAAGCCACAAGCATGAAAGATAAACGACACACAATATTTAACGTGGTTCGGCTCCACCATTGAGCCTACATCCACGGAGAGAAATACGTTCTTTATTATGAGAGGAAAATCCTATGCAAGAATACAACTTGAACCCAAACCCAACCCTTGTATACCATCTCTCATCTCCCAAAAACCCTCTCTCACACCCTAGGTATAAGGCTACATCTTGCCCTTGTATCTCCCTTTGTGTAGTATGCCAACCCACCTATTTATAGAGAACATTACTGGCAAAAAATCAAATAACAATAGGAAACCAATACTATTTCCTAAACTCATATAGAGTAGAAAATAGCATTTAGCTAAATATGGCTTTACTTGACTACTAATTCAAGTAACTAAAACCAATTAGAAAACTAGTTACTTCCACACAAAACAAGAAATCTACCAAGTTGGGCTCTGAGAGAGCCAAACTCGGGGAGAATTTAACCATGAGCTAGAATGAGAACCACAACCATGGGCTTGACACCACATCCAACCCAAAACCCTAAGGCATTGGATCTATGGATCATTCCCACTTATATTTTCCTCATTCTACTCATCTCTTTCCGATGTGGGACATTGATTCACACTTGATATCCCAACAAATATTTCTTTAGTTTAGTCGGATCTGTATACTTGTTAATTCCTTATACAGCCTCTTTAGACTTCCCTCCTTATAAAATAGAATAGATTAGTTTATAAGAATATTATCATTGTGATAAAAAAAAAAATCTTCCCTTCAACATACTTCAACAAGTCATCAAATGAAGTTAAAAGATAGCAAGCAAAGATTTTTTTACTCACTTTCAATTTGCTTCCTATAGGACTATATTTGAAAGAGTGAGAACAAAAAAAGGGAGATAAATTTGTATCGTTTAATGCGAATGTTAACACTGACAAAGTACCCTTTTGTATTTGTAGTCACCTCACCACTTTGACTGTGGCACTGTCCGCAATGAAGACTGCAACTGAGGAAAACGATTGAATGATGAACTTAAGCAATACAATTTCATAGATTTACGTCTAAGATCAGCAAAATTTGTTTGTATGTCTTTCGGCTTGACTGGGAAGATGAGTATAAAATACAAATTTGTTTCTGTGTTGTTGAATGGGAAAATAATGTTCCGCTTACGTGGAAAAATGGCATTGTATTGTTGCTGTACATCCCAGAGTTTTGGACGTCTTGGTTTGTCTTAGCCCGTTAGCCCAGAATACACGTCGAAGACTTGTAAAAATGTCTTGGAGAAAAAACAGATGAACAGAACTTGAGAGAGTGAGTGAGACCGAAAGTAAGTTGAGAGCGAGTGCTCAATATAGCCACAAAAATAGGCGTAATTAACGGTTGTTCTTTTCGAAAAATGCTTGTATGGGTAGACCCGGGATACATTTAATGTAACTCAATGTTGTGACTTGTATATGTTTTCTTAAAGATCAAAATATGAATGAAAAAAGTTATCCAAATATTTTTTAAAGTGTAATCTGCATCTTTTTATATGTTTCTACGGTTTTAATCTTTAAAAGATTATGTAAAAGGTTTTTTTTTTTATACTTTCTTCCAAGTTTTTTAGGCACTTTCTTCCAATTTTGGTAATTTAATTCTTTGATACTTCATTTGTCGGTTGTTGGGTTTAGGCATTGTCATTTTTTATACTTTCATTTGATAGTCTACTTGCTTAAACAATTAACTTTTTGGTCTCAGTCAAGAAAAAAAAAATTTGGTCCAACGAGTTCAACCACCTTTCATTGTTTTTTTTTTTTTTTTTATCAATTTTCCAAGCATGTTTCTAAGTTTAAAGAAGATCGAGTTTAGTTTGAAGGGACATTAGCCTGATTAATAAGAGATTCGTGGTTGGACTCTTTATCTTTTGTATTGGATTTTATCATTTAATTATTATACAAGTTTGAATTTTATATCCATCATGTGTTGCTAAAATGTATGTCTAGAGTTATGGATGAATTTCTTGTATTTTGTTTGTGATGTTTACTTGGTTATTTGAAACTATGATTTTGAAGAAGTTATTTAGCAATTTTGGTTATCTAATCATAATTAACTGGCTATTAGTTTTGATGATTTCAATGTATTATATTTGCAATGAAAATTAAAATTTAACACTAAGTGCACTCACGAGAGTAGACGTGCACTTTTTTTTTTTTTTTTTTGGCTTTGGTGGTATTATTTCATAGAATTTCACTGAAAAAATGAACTTGTAGTTAATTTTATAACTAAGAGAGTAGTTATAGTTTGATAACAAGTATAGATGATTCACTACAAGAATATGTTTTACATAGATTAGGAAATTACACCATGTTTAGTTAAGATAATAACACTCAATTAATCAATAATTTTACTTATAAGAGTAGGAAGGAATTTCATAACCGTAGGAGCTTTGTAACGTCATTTTCACTTTATTTAATTTTATGATTGTAGATCAGATTTACTTGCTTTAATTTGTGGTTATCTAAAGAATAAAGCAATTGAAAACTATTGGTAATTGACAATTTTTCTTGGGGGATTGACACCTAATATCCCCTATAAATGATCTTGAAGAAAATAGAGGATATTTAGGTTTTTAAAATTTGATGTAAAGTAAAAAATAAAAAAGAACCAGCGTTGACTTGCTATACAGAAGTATGTTTTAATCTGGAAGATAATTCCAAAACCAAATTTCATCCGGTCAGAATTCATGCTATTATTGTCTCTATCTTTGTCATTAGATGTACCAAGTGTCTGGCATATATATATAAGTACATGTAATAGACATTATTAGCCCGTGTCTGTTGTCTTAAATGCTTGCAAAACTGACAGTATAATCATGAAGAAATTATCTCACTTGTATTTTCCCCTTGGACTCTTCTTGCTATGTTCTCTCTTATCTTGCTTAGCCATGGCCACCCCCAACATTACCTCGGATCAATCCGCCCTTCTCTCATTGAAAGCCAAAATCACTGGGGATCCTCACGAAATCTTGGCAAGCAACTGGTCGGCTACTTCCTCAGTTTGTGACTGGAGAGGAGTCACTTGCGGCTCTCGCCACCGCAGAGTCACCGCCTTGAATATCTCCAACTTGGGCCTCACCAGCACCATTCCTCCACAACTGGGCAATCTCTCCTTTCTCATGTCCCTCGATATGAGCAGGAACAACTTTTACGGAGAACTTCCCCATGAATTGATTCGTCTGTCCAGGTTACGAGTCCTTAGTTTAGGCATTAACATGCTTAGCGGAAATATTCCCTCTTGGGTTGGTTCCTTCCAACAACTCCAACACTTTTCTCTAAAGAACAATAGCTTTACAGGGTTTCTGCCACCGGGGCTGTTCAATATTTCCTCACTGGAAGCTATTGCTCTTCAAAATAATAGCTTATCTGGCAGTCTTCCATCCAGCATATGTCCCCGTCTTCAAGGACTCACATGGCTTGACCTTTCCTACAACAAATTAAGTGGTGTGATACCACCATCGTTATCGGAGTGTTCGAAGCTTCAGGTACTGTGGTTGTTTGACAACAACTTTAGTGGAGTGATACCGGAAGGATTTGGGAACCTGACGGCGCTGAAGCAACTAGGTCTTAGCGGGAACAATTTGATTGGTACCTTCCTAACTATTTGATATACTATTAAAAAAGAGCTACATATTGCTAGTTGTATATTCTCAAACAATTAAATAATATATTGATTAGTAATTTGAAGGCTTGTATGAAGGAAATCCTGAAAGGTAATTATAGAATACATAAAGGTAATTACTTATCAAACCTGAAAAAATAGTTGGTAACACTTTCGGTAACTAAAGAAGAATACAAAGAATTTTCTTATTAAACATATGTGGTAGTAAAAAAGACCGTATAACATTTCCAGACGTAATAATCAAAATATGAATCACACAATCACCTCAGCAAACTACCAAAGCTTAGGCTTCCCTTTTTTTTGTGCGAAGTTATATATATATATATATATATATATATATATATATAAGCTTGAATCTTTTTATATGGTTTTTTCTAGATTTTATCATGTTTGTAATTATTAAGCATATTAATCTGCAAAATATATGCATTTATCCGAAAGAAAAAACAATTCCATGTTGATTATATATGCAAATTTGCCTTTCTATTGTCTTCAAAGCCTATTGACTTAAATATCTCTTGGTTGTTGTGAAAGTATTTTATCCCAAAAAAAAAAGCAATTCCTTGTAATGAGGTTTTAAGTAAATTCTTTAAAACATTCTAACACGAGTAAATTAATCCGTAGCATGCACTGACATTTGTAAACGTGGTAACTCTCTAGGTAGTGTTCCGCAGGAGCTTGGCAACCTAAAGCATCTTGAAGAACTTGTTTTGGACTTCAATAGCCTAACTGGATCCATACCAGCCCAAATATTCAACATCTCGACACTACAAGTACTGGACCTATCGAACAATACGCTTTCTGGAAGGCTTCCGTCATCCTCGGGTTATGAATTGATCAACCTTGAATGGCTTGATCTCTTCTCAAATGATTTTGATGGAGTCATACCAGCCTCAATCTCAAATGCGTCTAAGCTGACTTTTTTAGACTTCGGTGGAAATAGATTCAGCGGTCCAGTTCCAAACTCTCTTGGAAACCTAAGACTTCTAATAAAATTGTATCTCGATGATAATCATTTGACAACTGAACCTTCATCGAGAGAATTGGGTTTTATCAATTACTTGACAAATTGTAAGCATCTAGAACACTTATCATTTGGTGACAATCCGCTGCACGGTTTTCTTCCGATGTCAGTTGGGAATCTCTCAACTTCTATGGAGGGATTCTATGCATATGGTTGCGGAATCAAGGGAAGCATTCCCGATGGAATTGGGAATTTGAGCAGCCTAATGATTTTGAGTCTAGATGGAAATCACCTGAGTGGGCCCGTTCCGAGCACAATGAAATACTTGCAAAATCTTCAAAGTATGAATTTGAGTGCTAATCAATTAAGTGGTTCAATTCCAGATAGCATTTGCAAGTTAAAGAGATTGTACCGAATCTATTTGGGGCAAAGCCAGTTTCGTGGGTCAATACCATCATGCTTAAATAATATTAGTTCCCTGAGAGAAATTGACTTTGCCGGGAACTTATTAGACTCAAGCATACCTGCTAGCTTGTGGAATCTCACTGATCTCTTGAAGTTGAACCTGTCATATAATTCATTGAGTGGCTCACTACCTTATGAAACTGGAAATTTGAAGGTAGTAACACTATTAGATTTGTCTGGAAATCGCCTTAATGGGAATATTCCAAGTTCCTTTGGCGGCTTGCAAAGTTTAGCAACGCTTTCATTAGCACAAAATAAACTTCAGGGACCTATTCCAGACTCTCTCAGTCACATGTTAAGCTTGGAATTTTTGGATCTATCCAATAATAATCTATCAGGTCCAATACCAAAGTCCTTGGAGACACTTTTATATCTCAAACACATTAATCTTTCTTTCAACCGTTTAAGAGGAGAAATTCCCTCTAGTGGTCCTTTCGAGAACTTCACATATGAATCATTCATATCTAATGATGACTTGTGTGGCGCTCAGAGATTTCATATTCCTCCATGTCCTTCTCCTCGGATTCACAAATCGACTCAGAAGAAAGTATTTCATATGCTAGGCATTCTATCAGGTATTGCAGCAACAATAATTGCTCTTACAACTGCTGCAATTTTACTTTTAAGATGCCGAAGAAAGGATGGGGTTTCAAGAAACACTGATTTACTACCCATGGGATTGCCAAAAAGGATTTCATATTATGAACTTGTGGAAGCGACCAATGGCTATGATGAAAGCAATTTACTTGGCAAAGGGAGTTTTGGATCTATATATAAGGGTATTTTGACGGATGGGACAGTTGTAGCTGTGAAAGTTTTCACTTTACTAGCAGAAGTCACTTCCGGGAGTTTTGATACAGAGTGTGAAGTTCTACGCAGCCTTCGCCATAGAAACCTAACCAAAGTGATTGGTAGCTGCTCTAACTTGGACTTTAAAGCCTTGGTCCTTGATTATATGTCTAATGGGAGCCTTGAGAAATGGTTATACTCCCACAACCGTTGGCTGGATCTCCTGCAAAGGATAAGCATAATGATGAATGTTGCTTCTGCATTGGAATATCTCCATTTTGGTTATACAGCACCAGTGGTTCACTGTGATCTGAAACCTAGCAACATATTGCTCGACGAAAATATGGTTGCTCATGTAAGTGATTTTGGCATGACAAAGTTTTTGGATGAAGAAAATAGTGTTCTGCATACCAAGACACTTGCAACGCTTGGATACTTGGCACCAGGTTTGGCATATTTGACTTCTTTTTAGTTGCTTTTTTTATCTGTTTTTTTTCATGAATTATATGTCAATCTTCCAAGTTTTCTATTTTTTTCACTTTAAGCATGATGGATTGCCTTTCATATCACAGAGTATGGACTTGAAGGGCAGGTGTCAACAAGGGTTGATGTTTATAGTTTTGGTATAGTTTTGATGGAAACCTTTTCAAGAATGAAGCCTAGTGATGAAATGTTCGAAGATGATTTGAGCCTGAAGAGTTGGATTGAAGAATCTCTGCCTAATGCAACCACTCAGGTTATAGATGCAAACTTACTTGGGCGGCAAGATGAGCATTTCAATGAGAAATTGGAGTGTATTTCAGTGATCTTCAAATTGGCTTTGAGTTGCTGTGCTAAGTGCCCGCGAGATCGGACTAATATGAAGGATGTTGTGGCAACACTTCAAAAGATAAAACGTCAAATTGAGTATTTTTCGAATATCTCGGCATGAAAGTACGTTCTTTTACTTAATCCTACTGATCAAGTTTGCTCCGCTCAAATAATCTTTCCAATGTCTTTTGTTGCAGGATGATGCCAAGATTTGAAACATGAAGCAAAATGAGTTATATTATCCACCTTAAGTATGCTGATATATCAATCATATATTTGTTTTAAGTTCATTTTCTAAGTTGTCATTTGAAAGGAATCCTGAGGAAAAACTGCATTTGCATAGTTCTGTTTCATGAAAATCTTTATTAGAGTTTTATATTTTGCACGCATAAACCTGTTTCTTCCTTTTTTCCTTTGCTTGTGCATTAATCTTCTGCGACCAAGAATGATGATGACAATGATGAACCTTGAATTGGCAGTGGCACCACTAGTACTAAAATGGGTGGAATGTGAATTTCTTGGGGTGCTGGAGATTTATTGTTCATTCACGGCGTCTTTCGATTTTGGGTGATGATAGTGGTATATTCGTCTATAGATTCGGAAGCTCTAAGAGGATTTAGAAAGCAAAATCTTGGGTCTTGTCTTGATTTGCTTTTCAATTAAAAGGTCGCAGTAGTGGTGGTGATGGGAGGAGTTTGTGAAGGAGCGGCGGACCATGGTGATAGCTTGAGAGACGACAGAGATAGGAAAAGTTTGGGTCTGGTGATGATGGTGGAAGAAGAAAAGGGGAAACAAGAAAAAAAAAACGCAAATAGGAAAAATAAGAATTTTAAATATAAAAATGATAATATAATTAAATAGGGAAATATTGAAATTTCACAAACTTTCATTTAGACAAACGGTTCCATCCAAATTCCAGATTAGTCTAAAGTATAGGGAGATTATTTGGGGATTTTTTAATCTTTGCATAACCCTGCAAAGGGATATTAGTCCTACTACAAAAAAAGTCCTACTACAATATGATTAAACCTATGTCGCTACCCAAAAAAAAAAAAAAAAAAAAATTTGTAGCTAGGAAGGTTGGGCCTTAACTAGTTGAGTTTGTCTCCTAACAATCTCAACCAACTTGTGAAATTGGCATCAATGTGTAGGGCTACGCTCAATATACTTCAAGACCAAAAAAGTTTTTGAATTTACTCAAGGTGGGCATAAAGAAAAGAGTCATGATTGTGTAGAACTAAGATGGATAGCAGTCACAAGGGCATAAATAAAAGAAAAGAAAAGAGTCCATATGAATTGTCTATATGGATGCCAAAACAGTTTCACTATATTACTTATCAGAGCATTCAGTAACATATTAATTGCAATTCCATATGGCATACCATTTGGGATAAAAGGATTAGATACTCAACATTTTTAGAGTTAAATGGATTAGATAATTTTTAAAAGATTTTCAACGAGAAAGGATAATTTTTAAAAGATTTTCAACGAGTGAGGTTTTTGAAACCTTAGTCAGAATTAGTGAAAAAAAAAAAAACAAACACACTCAAAAAATGCATTGGTTGATTAAGGATGGTTCTGCAATGTGTTCCTCGTATCATAAAAAATTTAATTAACACTAAAAGGGTACACGCTGAGTTTCTACGTGAGGATACAACTTCCCATCAAACTTCTAAAACTTGTGTGACATTACTCTGGCCTGGCAATATCTAGTCCTATTGACTATTCTTGATTTTGGAGAAAAAATGGTGAAACTAAGACACATTTAACACCAGATTATATCGTGTCAGTGATTGGCAATGGAGATTCCGCTTTTATATGGTTCGAAAATTAATGTTACCCTCATGGACCTCCGTTGCTGAAACATGGCCGTACTATAGTGAGGCAGTTTGGTAGTATTTTATAGGCCAAGTCCTCTTCAATTTTTAGTGAAGTTCAATGGAATTAAACTGCCAATGGGAAGAAGAAAGGAATGAGATTGTGTTTTTTTTTTTTTTTTCCATTTGTTAAGCCAGCCATGAAATTGTTGTGACCTGCCTTTATCATATGAGTTATGTGTAGAAATATCGATTGGATACTAAAGACAGGTTGATAAGGTGGGGCGTCATTGCTGATCAGCGTTTTCCATTGTGTAGTCGTTTGCTGATTTCTTCAACGCTCTTATTCTGCTATTTGTTGGTTAATCATCTTCCTCGGTTAGTTAACTATTTGTGTTCTTGGCCTTTTGCTCCATATCGAGACATTTCCCCGGAATCAAGTCGCTCTGAACACCATATATGCGGTTCTGTTGAACACCCCAACCGATATGAAGAGCACAAACAGTTGACAGATTGCTATACAGGAAAAGCCCTTCAAATAAGGCCCAGAAAAATTAAATGTTGCTAACTTGCCATCAACCACATTATGATCTGATATTGTGGCTGAGAAAAATTTCATATTTCATTTTCAAAGAAGACTTGGACTCCAATAGAACTGGGAAAAGGTATCCCCAATACAACCACCCCCGTCCCCCCCCCCCCCCCCCCAACAAAAAAAAAAACCACCAAAAAACTTTTTTTCCCGGATATTACTATTTTAGAAAAATATAGTAAACACAATTAGGTGATTTTGTATATAAAGTATCAGAAATTTTCTTGGTTGTATAACAATTTAAACCTCATTTTAGAGTAGGAAAAACTAAGCAAATTGAAGGGACAGAGTTACTGGCGAATACATAGAAGGGTAATGCTGTCTCCAAGAATATTTGATAGATTTTTATATTATTTCATTAAGTTAAAAAAGAAGGGTAGAGTGCACGGAGGTTTTTTTTTTTTTTTTTTTTTTTGGAGTAAACATATCATTTGTCTTTTCTTATGATAAATATCACATTTGAACGTACAAGAGATTAGCTTTGGTGTGTTCAACATATTGTATCCCTACAGCTCTTCATGCTATGGGAGATTCGAGTGACTTGGGATGGGCAGGTAGCTTCAAGTGTGAGCCATTTAGCAAGTAAAGTGCATAAAATAAAATAATAAGAAAGAGTGTCACGTTTAAGGGGTTACGTTAAATGTAGCCATTAGTGCCAACGGAATGAGGTGTAAAATTGACCAAACACAAGAAGGTATCAAGGAAATTATCTGCCCGACCCTAAACTATTCCTATTATGTTCATTTAACTGCTCAACAATACATTGTCGTAAACAAGCCCCTCAACAAAAAAAAGTGTCATGTTTAAGTATTTACATCAAATTTAGCCGTTAGTGTTGACAGAATGAGGGGTAAAATTGACCAAACAAGAAAATTTCTTAATGTTTTTCTTCTTGACATTTTTCTTAACCTTCATTGGGCTTTGATGAAATAATGAGGCAATTTCATCTGTGACGCCTTTTAGAACATTTCTCTTGATGTCTTGGTCAATTTTACCCCTTATTTCGTAAATACTAATAGCTAAATTTGACGTAAGTCCTTCAGTGTGACACTTTTTTTTTGAAGGGTTTGGTTGCAACAGTGCATTATTGAGGGGCCAAAGGAGTGCAAAAAAATAGTTCAATGGTCGCACGGACAATTTCGTCAAAAAACTGTTTAGAAATTATTGTGTTTGATCAATATTACCCCTCGTTCCGTTAGCACCAACTTTGTTTTAAGGGACTTGTTTGCGACAATGTATTATTAAGGGGCTATAAATGGGCAATAAGAATAGTTTAATAGCTGGATAGATAGATTTTTCTTTAAGATGTATACATGTATGTGTGTGTAGGCTTCTGATAATGTAGTATCGACATACACTGTAAGCGGATTGCACTGCTTTTTTCTTTCATTTTTCTATGATATGCTGGTTTGGGAACTATTATAACCTTTTGCGAAATCTTGGTTCTCGACGGGTAGAAAAAATTTGCCAAAGAATCGGTACGGGTTAGAAAAAGGGTTAAAAGTAAAAAAGCTCTGTAATATACCTAATATACAAAAAAATCTCTCGTGGTTTCAAAATATATAAAATAATATCTCATGTTTTAAATTAAATTGTAAACTAACAGAATTAGTTAAATTTAACGAAAATAACGGTATCGCCCGTTAAATTTATCGGATTCCGTTAAATTTACCGTTAAATTTGGACAACGTAAAACAAGTGTATAAAAAGTAAAGACTTTGGACAACGTAATAAAACCATGTAAATATGTAGGTACCAACACACTGTATATGCGAATTGCTACCGTATCAAATAGTAATTGAAGCTTGACTTGTGCCACAAAATGAACCATAGAGACGTTCCAGAAATTAAATGTCGCCCACCTGTCATCATCTCCATAAAGCTCTAACATTTTGGCTGAGAAAGTCCAACATTCACTTTCAAAGAAGACCTTGACTACAAAGATTGGAGACTTGAATTGGTAAAATAATCCCAACTAACCCCAAGCTCTCATTATTTGTTTTTTGAAAGCTCAAAAATTGGTATAATTAGTAGCTCTGGGTTGATTGGGAAGATGATGCGCCGATTTTTGTGGAAAGAAACACTTCCATTGTCGGTGTTAGTTGCAAGTCTTGGGCATGTTAGAACTGGATAAGCACATGCTATAAATTTGAAAATGAAAGCGTAACATTTTCCCAACCGAAATATTTAAGATACGCGTTATAAAACTTGTCAAAATGAAAGCACGACAGTTGGCCTATTGAACTACCCAAAGACGTGTCACAAGAGTAATATAATTAATCAATACCCTTGTCATCATTCTTTGCAGGTGGAAAAATTTATTAGGTGTCGAGATTGCGGTCTTGATTTGAAATGTTGATAGGTCTCAAAAATCACTTGAAAGTTGTCCTACATTTTGATCTTTGTCTTTTTTTTTTTTTGTTTAAAAATATGAGAAAATTCGAGCAAGTAAATAGATAAATAACTAAATAAAGTAAAATAATAAGGAATGAGGGTTCATTTGCAAGCATCAGCTGAAGATTTTGTACAAGGCTATTTCTATGAACCCGTTTAATATCCTTTTTTTTTTTCAAATTCAATTTGGATCAGTATCTTAAATTGCTGGCTTTATCTATTTTCTATTTATACCTTTCCATGAATAATGTTACTTTCTCTTAGCAGTATAAAACTTGACGTACGTAAAGATGAATCTCGGCCGGTTAGGTGCAAATGAGAAATTGCAAAAGAGAGGGTGGCTGGGGTTTTGAACTTTGATCCCCCATAAATTTTGAGAAATACTTTTGAAGTCCTTATCTCGCTGGCCTATAATTTTGGGAAAATGCCCTATGCCCATTGCCTTCCACCTCGCCTCCTCTCCAAGCTTTTGCTTTAAGAAAAGCTTTTAAAAATTTACTTGTCCAATGTTCTTAGATTTTGCGTTTGGCTATAGTTGGTCCACTTTTTATAACTTTCGTTCCTCATTTTGGACAATGCTCTTTAATTGTTTTAATTGTGAATTCTCTTGGATAAAGTATTATTGCATTTTAATATAGCAGCTCTATTAATAATTGGTCTTCCTTTTGTACAAATTATCTCAAATAATTGAAATTACAATTGGTCAGAAATTTTCTCATGAAAATCTATAAGATATATATGAAGATAATTTAATCCATACTTCCTATTTAAGATCCGAGATCGACTTATTTTCCAAAATAAGAGAGCATAGAGCAACTCATTTGTAGTTTACATAAGTGTCTGCATCTCTTGCTTTATTTCAAATCATCTTGTGATGACAAAAATTTTCTTCTTTCTTGTTTTCTTTTGTTCATTTTGTGTAAACTCAAAGATTTTTTCCCTTCAACATACTTCTACATGTCATCAAATGAAGTTAAAAGATAGGAAGCAAAGATTTTTTACTCACACCTTCAATTTGCTTCTCATTGGACTATATTTGAAATAGTGGGAACAAAAAAAAAAGAGATAAATTTGTATCACTAAATGAGAATGTTAACACTGGCAAAGTACCCTTTCATATTTGTAGTCACCTCACCACCTTGACGACTATGGCACTGTCTGCAATGAAGACTGCAACTGAGGAAAACGATTGAATGGTGAATTTAAGCAATACAATTTCATAGATTTACGTCTAAGATCAGCAAAATTTGTTTGTATGTCTTTCGGCTTGATTGGGAAGATGAGTATAAAATACAAAATTGTGTTCTATGTCGAATGGGAAGATAATGTTCCGATTATGTGGAAAAATGGCATTGTAGTGTCGTTGTACATCCCAAAGTCTTGGTCGTCTCGGTTTGTCTTAGCCCGTTAGCCCAGAATACACGTCGAAGACTTGTAAAAATGTCTTGGAGAAAAAACAGATGAAGAAGTTGAGAAAGCGAGTGCGACCGAAAGTGAGTTGAGAGCGACTGCTCAATATAGCCACAAAATTGGTGTAATGAACGGTTGTTCTTGAATAATAAATATCTATTCAAATAAAGTATAAATTTTACATATAACCGTGAAAATGGTCGAATTCACAGGAACTAAAAATAATTCGTTTCAAATAGGTAATACCGACCGAAAGTGAGTTGAGAGCGAGTGCTCAATATAGCCACAAGGCCTAACTGATAAGTTATTAAATTGAAACATTAATAAATAAATTCTAACCAAGGAATAATTTCGGAAATGGTTCACTAAAATTGATCACTGATGCAATAATAATTTAACTTATTAACGGATAAATAAAGTTATAACTGTCAAACACGCGATGATAATCAATTTCTTCTTGCTATATTGGTGATTAAGGTACGATCGTTAACTACTGCCCTAATCAAGAAAATAACCCTGGGTACGACCTTAGAGTTCAATTTTTCAATTGTTTAAGAATTAGAGAAACCCTATTCTAACCAAATAAGACGTTACGAGAGTTATTTTAAATTAACTCATATGTTCCCTGACACAAATCCAATCATGCCAGTTACGATTATTGTAAAGCAATTAAATAATTATGGATTTAACTACTCTAATTGATTTTAGGTTATTAGATTGAATTAAATATCAGACGCCCTTGATATTCAAACAATATAATAACAATAAGAAATTAAATTAGAGAATGTACGAATACCAGTAATAAAAAAATTAAATATAATCAATTCGATCTCACAATTTTAGATGAACCAAATCCTCTGTTATTTTTTATTAGAATAAAATGTTTAGTTCATCATCATGGAAAAAGCCACGCGTGAAATATTTGAGTTTAGTGCTGCAACCATTCTCCAAAAAGTGCGATGAACAAGAAAAGAAAAGACGTCCGTTCATTTCTTATGACAAAGGAGAACAGAAAAAGTTACGATGCTATTTTTTTGGATTTCATCTCCTATATCTCCTATAAAAAGATTGTTTCCAAAAAGTCAAGATAACTAACTAAACTGGTGTCCTAATAGAAATAGGAGACTAGTATGCGCTGTAGAGTTTGACTTCCATGGCTTCAAATCAACTAAAATTCAAGATTAAAAATCACGTGTCAAATCCCGAGTTTCTGGTCATGTAAAGTTAGACTTTGATGCACCTACGTCGAAGTGTATAGAAACCTAGTTAAAATCACGTTCTTAACTTCTTTTCGCTCCAGATCCCTACAAACAACACCAGTCACAAAAAATAAATAAAATCTACCAATTAATGCAATGCTTGGCCAAAATTAAGGGGAAAACAATCATAAATTAAATGACAAAATGCAACCTATTAGTTCTTTTCGAAAAATGCCTGTATGGAAGGACACGAGCACTTAATGTTGTGACTTATATATGTTTTCTTAAAGATCAAAATGTGAATGAAATAGTTATCCAAATATTCTTTTAAGTGTAATATGCATCTTTTTATATGTTTCTACGGTTTTAATCTTTAAAAGATTATGTAAAAGGGTTTTTTTAATACTTTCTTCCAAGTTTTTCAGACACTTTCTTCCAATTTTGGTAATTTAATTCTTTGATACTTCATTTGTTGCTTGTTGGGTTTAGGCAGTGTCATTTTTTATACTTTCATTTGATAGTTTATTTGCTTAAACAAATAACTTTTGATTAAAAAAAAAACTTTGGCCCAACAAGTTCAATCACCTTTCAACTTTCATTTTTTTTAAAAAAAAATCAATTTTCCAAGCATGTTTCTAATTTTAAAGAAGATTGAGTTTAGTTTGAAGAGACATTAGCCCGATTAATAAAAGATTCATGGTTGGATTCTTTTGTCTTTTGTATTGGATTCTATTGTTTAATTATTATACAAATTTGGATTTTATATTCATCATGTGCTGTTAAAGTGTATGTCTAGAGTTATGCATGAACTTCCTGTATCTTGTTTGTGATGTTTACTTGGTTATTTGATACTATGATTTTGAACAAGTTATTTAGCAATTTTATTTATGTAATCATGATTACTGGACATTAACTATGGTAATTTCAATGTATTAGATTTGCAATGAGAATTAAAATTTAACACTAAATGCACTCACGAGAGTAGACGTGCACTTTTTTTTTTTTTTGGCTTTGGTGGTATTATTTCATGTAATTTCTCCGACAAAATGAACTTGTAGTTAATTTTATAACTACGAGAGTAGTTATAGTTTAATAACAAGTATAGATGATTCACTACAAAAACATGTTTTACATAGATTAGGAAATTACACCTAGGGATGGCAACGGGGACAGGCACCCGCCCCGTGGGGGGTCATTGGAGCAGGGGTTGGGGTGGGGGGGGGAATTTTTTCCCCCCGTTTAGAAATGGGGCAGGGGACGGGGGTATACTCCCCCGTCCCGCCACCCGTTTGAAAAAATATATATATATATATATGTACATAATTATATATATATATAATGATATTATCAATTATACTACTAATTATACATGTCTATTAATAAAAATTATTAATTATTTATACTAAATTTATTAATACATTTATGTTAAATTCCTAACTACACTTAATACAATAACACTTTTTTCTAAAAAAACACAATAATAATTTAGTGATTGTAATTGTATCAAAAGTGAAAACTTGATTATTTTAGTTATATTTGTTTTATTATATTAGATTGTATTCAAATAACCTTTGTTTAATTATTTTATGAGTTTCAATTGTGAGGTTACAATGAATAATAATTTGGTGATGTGTTGATATTTTAGTACTTGATTATTTGCTCAAATTTAATTATAATGAAATTATATAATAAAATTTTTTTAACCCCACGGGTGCCCCCGCGGGGGAAGCGGGGCGAGGCGGGGGCAGGGGGAATTAAAATGCAACGGGGCGGGGGTTGGGGGAGGTGTCCCCCGCCCCATTGCCACCCCTAATTACACAATGTTTAGTTAAGATAATAACATTCAATTAACCAGTAATTTTACTTGTAAGAGTAGGAAGGAATTTCATAACCCTAGGAGTTTTTTAATGTCATTTTTACTTTATTTAATTTTATGATTGTAGATTCGATTTACTTGCTTCAATTTGTGGTTATCTAAAGAATAAAGAAATTGAAAACCATTGGTAATTGACAATTTTTTCTGGGGGATTGACACCTAATATCCCCTATAAATGATCTGGGAGAAAATAGAGGGTATTTAGGTTTTTAAAATTTGATGTAAAGTAAAAAGTAAAAAAGAACCAGCTTTGACTTGCCATACAGAAGTATGTTTTAATCTGGAAGATAATTCCAAAACCAAATTTCATCCGGTCAGAATTCATGCTATTATTGTCTCTATCTTTGTCCTGGCATACGTGCATTAGATGTACCAAGTGTCTGGTATGTATATATATAAGTACATGCAATAGACATTATTAGCCCGTGTCTGTTGTCTTAAATGCTAGCAAAACTGAAAGTATAATTAATCATGAAGAAATTATCTCACTTGTATTTTCCCCTTGGACTCTTCTTGCTAGGTTCTCTCTTATCTTGCTTAGCCATGGCCGCCCCCAACATTACCTCGGATCAATCAGCCCTTCTCTCATTGAAAGCCAAAATCACTGGGGATCCTCACGAAATCTTGGCAAGCAACTGGTCGGCTACTTCCTCAGTTTGTGACTGGAGAGGAGTCACTTGCGGCTCCCGCCACCGCAGAGTCACTGCCTTGAATATCTCCAACTTGGGCCTTACCGGCACCATTCCTCCACAACTGGGCAATCTCTCATTTCTCATGTCCCTCGATATGAGCAGGAACAACTTTTACGGAGAACTTCCCAATGAATTGATTCGTCTGTCCAGGTTACGAGTCCTTAGTTTAGGCATTAACATGCTTAGCGGAAATATTCCCTCTTGGGTTGGTTCCTTCCAACAACTCCGACAATTTTCTCTAAAGAACAATAGCTTTACAGGCTTTATCCCACCTTCTATCTCCAACATGTCAAAGCTAGAGACGTTCAATCTGCAGTTTAATTCTCTACAAGGAGCAATACCAATGGAGATTGGGAAATTAAAAAAGTTGAAGCAAATTCTCCTCGACTTTAATCAGCTTTCCGGTTTTCTGCCACTGGGGATGTTCAATATTTCCTCACTGGAAGTTATTGCTCTTCAAAATAATAGCTTATCTGGCAGTCTTCCATCCAGCATATGTCCCCGTCTTCAAGGACTCACATGGCTAGACCTTGGCTTCAACAAATTAAGTGGTGTGATACCACCATCGTTATCGGAGTGTTCGAAGCTTCAGGTACTGAGGTTGTTTGCCAACAACTTTAGTGGAGTGATTCCGGAAGGATTTGGGAACTTGACGGCGCTAGTGGAACTATTTCTTCGGGACAACAATTTGATTGGAGTGATACCGGAAGGATTTGGGAACTTGACGGCGCTCAAGCGACTACATCTTCGCCGGAACAATTTGATTGGTACCATCCTGCTCCATGTTTTAATTGTCATTTAGGGAAATTTGACTAAGTGTAAAGAGGCATTTACATAATAAGTTGCGTGTATTAATAAGTATTTCTTGACCTTGGCATGCATTACAAAGTTCGTAATCTAATGTAACTTTGTTTTATATTTTAGAATAAATATTTCAAAGCTAATTAATCACCAAAGCTAGAAACATCAATTCTCTACGAGGGACAATTCTAATAGAGATTCGGAATCTAAACAAATTGAAGATAGTGAACATCAACAATTAACAATCAAATTGAAGATAGTGTTCAATATTTCGCCATTGGAGACTATTACTTTTGCTGGTAATAGCCCAACTCTTTTTGCATTTTAGCTGAAATTAGAAAAAAAAAAAAAAGAGCTACATATTACTAGTTATATATTCTCAAACAATTAAATAATATATTGATTAGTAATTTGAAGGCTTGTATGAAGGAAATCCCGAGGTACACAAATTATAGAACAACATAAAGGTAATTACTTATCAAACCTGAAAAAATAGTTGGTAACACTTTCGGTAACTAAAGAAGAATACAAAGAATTTTCTTATTAAACATATGTGGTAGTAAAAAAGACCATATAACATTTCCCAACGTAATAATCAAAATATGAATGACAAAATCACCTCAGCAAACTACCAAAGCTTAGGCTTCCCTTTTTTTTTTTTTAAAATTTTGTGTGAAGTTATATATATATATATATGTATATATATAAGCTTGAATCTTTTTATATGGTTTTTTTCTAGATTTTATCATGTTTGTAATTATTAAGCATATTAATCTGCAAAAATATATGCATTTATATGAAAGAAAAAACAATTCCATGTTGACTATATACGCAAATTTGCCTTTCTATTGTCTTCAAACCCTATTGACTTAGATATCTCTTGGTTGTTGTGAAAGTATTTTATCCGAAAAAAAAAGCAATTACTTGTGTGAAGGTTTTAAGTAAATTCTTTAAAACATTCTGACATGAGTAAATTAATCCGTAGCATGCGCTAACATTTGTAAACGTGGTAACTAACTCTCTAGGTAGTATTCCGCAAGAGCTTGGCAACCTAAAGCTTCTTGAAGAACTTCTTTTGGGCTTCAATAGCCTAACTGGATCCATACCAGCCCAAATATTCAACATCTCAACACTGCAAGTACTGGCCCTATCGAACAGTACGCTTTCTGGAAGACTTCCACGCTCCATGGGTTATGGATTAATCAACCTCGAAGGACTTTATCTCAATATGAACGAGTGTGATGGAGTAATACCAGCCTCAATCTCAAATGCATCTAAATTAACTGTGTTGGCCTTGAATTCAAACAGATTTAGTGGTCCAATTCCAAACTCTCTTGGGGACCTAAGACTTCTAAAACGGCTGATTCTCTATGAAAATCATTTGACAACTGAACCGTCATCAAGAGAATTGGGTTTTATCAATTACTTGACAAATTGTAAGCATCTAGAACACTTATCATTTGGTGACAATCCATTGCATGGTTTTCTTCCGGTATCGGTAGGGAATCTCTCAACATCTATGGAGAAATTCTATGCCTATTATTGTAGAATCAAGGGAAGCATTCCCGATGCATTTGGGAATTTGAGCAATCTATTGACTTTGAGTCTACATGGAAATCAATTGAGTGGACCCCTTCCCATCGGAGTGAAACACTTGCAAAAACTCCAAGGTTTAAGTTTGACATCCAATCAACTGAGTGGTTCAATTCCAAATAGTCTTTGCGAGTTAAAGAGCTTATACAAATTGTATCTGACATCAAATCAGCTTCGTGGGTCAATACCATCATGCTTAAGCAATGTTAGTTCGCTGAGAGAAGTTTTCTTTGATGGAAACTTCTTTAACTCAAGCATTCCTACTAGCTTGTGGAACCTCACTGACCTCTTGTATTTGGATTTGTCCTCTAATTTACTGGGTGGCTCACTACCTCAAGAAGTTCAAAATTTGAAGGCAATAACACTATTGGGTCTGTCAAGAAATCATCTTAGTGGGAATGTTCCAAGTTCCATTGGAGGTTTGCAAAGTCTAGCCAACCTTTCTTTAGCACAAAATAAGTTTGAGGGACCTATTCCAGACTCACTCGGTCATATTACAAGCTTGGAGGTTTTGGACCTATCCAATAATAATCTATCAGGTCCAATCCCAAAGTCCTTGGAGGTACTCTCATATCTCACTCATCTTAATCTTTCTTTCAACCACTTAAGAGGAGAAATTCCCTCTGGTGGTCCTTTTGAGAACTTCACATACGAATCGTTCATGTATAATGATGAATTGTGTGGCGCCCAAAGATTTCATGTTCCTCCATGTTGGGGTCACAAAAAAGTATTTCACATGTTAGGCATTATATTGAGTATAACAGCAGCAGTAATTGCTGTTGCAACTGTTGCAATTTTACTTTTAAGATGCCAAAGGAAGAATGAGGTTTCAAGAAATGCTGATTTGTTGCCCATGGGACTGGCGAGAAGGATTTCATATTATGAACTTGTCCAAGCAACCAATGACTATGATGAAAGTAATTTACTTGGCAAAGGAAGTTTTGGATCTGTATACAAAGGTACTTTAACAGATGGGACAGTTGTTGCTGTGAAAGTTTTCACTTTCCTCTTAGAAGTCACTTCTAGGAGTTTTGATACGGAATGTGAAGTTCTACGCAACCTTCGCCACAGAAACCTGATCAAAGTGATTGGTAGTTGCTCTAACCTAGACTTCAAAGCCTTAGTGCTTGAATATATGCCCAATGGGAGCCTTGAGAAATGGTTATATTCCCACAACCATTGCTTGGATTTAGTGCAAAGAATAAGCATGATGGCGGATGTTGCTTCGGCATTGGAATATCTCCATTTTGGCTATGTAACACCAGTGGTTCATTGTGATTTGAAGCCTAGTAACATATTGCTTGACGAACATATGGTTGCGCATGTAAGTGATTTTGGTATTGCAAGATTCTTGGATGAGAGAAACAGTGTTATGCATACCAAGACCCTTGCAACACTTGGATATATGGCACCAGGTTGAGCATATTTGACTTTTGCTTTAATTACTTTTATATCTCTTTTTTGTATGAAAATGTGTCAATTTCATGAGTTTTCTCTTTCCCTTCAACTATGATAGATTGATAGATTTCCTCTTGTAGTACAGAGTTTGGACTTGAAGGCCTAGTGTCAACAAGAATTGATGTGTATAGTTTTGGCATAATTTTGATGGAAACATTTTCAAGAATGAAGCCTAGTGATGAGATATTCAAAGAAGATTTGACCCTGAAGAATTGGATAGAAGAATCTGTACCTAATGCAACAGTTCAGGTTATAGATGGCAACTTACTCAGGCAACAAGATAAGCATTTCAATGAGAAATTGGAGTGTGTTTCAATGATCTTCAAATTAGCTCTAAGTTGCTGCACCGAATGCCCACAAGATCGGATCAATATGAAAGAAGTTGTGGCAGCACTTAAGAAGATAAAACGTCAACTTGACTCTTTATTGGATACCTGAAGATGGAAACGCCAATGTGAAAGAAGTTGCCTGGGCTGATATTTGCTCCACCAACACCAAAAAAATAGGGGTTTATGGGTGCAGAAATTGGCTGGCAATTTGATTTGTGAAGTTTTATGGGATAACATAGTTCCAACAAGAGGATTAGTGCTACTCTTCTGCCAGTATTCAAGACTTTAAAGCTCTCAACTTGCAAACTTGTAGTGTTTAATCCACAAATGCAATTGTCCAAGGGTGAATTCATTTTCTGTCTCACTCTTTTTTTTTTTTTTTTCGTTTAGACGTTGTTTGGGAATTTCTGAAAACCAAATAGTATTATTTTTTGTAGAAAAATACAAAATCTATACAATGTCTAATCGCACTCCTGCTTGGGGTTCTCTAGGATTGAGGAACATTGTTAGTATACAGTTGTAAAGGTAAAAGTACTCAAATTCAGTACTTTTTTTTTTCAGGTTCTATAGATTGAACACCTTTTTTCTTTCAACTAATCAAAGGTACGATTAAAGATATAAGAAAGTACGTTATATGTTAATATCAAACAATGATACTCTTGTATTATTTATTGTAAAAGAAATATTATCTCAAAAAATTAATGAGTCCCTTGGTCTATTATCCCAATCCTTTTCTGTTTCTTTAGTCCCACTTCTTTCCCCCAAAAAAAAAAACCAAAAAAAAAAAAGAGAAGAAAACGCACTATAACAATTAATACTATCCCGTATAACCTGTGAGCATCCAAAAACTTGATCCATTATTTCTACGCATTAAGTATTGAAAAGCGGAAGGCAAAAGTCCATTGTGATGTAAGGATGCACTTTGGAGAAATTTGCGAGTGCAATCATTCAATTTACAAGTAGACTTGCCCATGTCTTCTATACGGAAGATATTCAGCTCATCAATGAATGTTGAGCACATATTTCCCACTTGCACAATTATTTGGGGGCTTGCTACTGTATATTATATTTGCCCAAACGGGAATTCAACATAGTGCTAATTCTTGAATCTGGATCGCAAATCAGATTTGAGCACATCCATAGAGAAGCAAATGGTTTATGCTTACCGCTTGGCAAAGATTTGAGCATTACAACAGGAAGATTTTGTTTTGTATCCCCCGATGTACGGGACCTTTTGCCTGGAGGATATATAGAGGTGTGAATTCCCTCATATGGTAGTAAATTACTCTGATACTTAGAGTTTGTTCTCGATTCATTATTTTAGCTAATTATATATTTTAATTTTAAATAATTAGTTTTTTTTAACATTCCCATTTACATTTGTATTTAGATTCTAGATTTTTGTAATTATCTGAAAAAGCTAAAATCTATAATCTATCAAAGAGTAGTTTTTATAGATTCTAATTATTCTCTATAATCAAATTTCTATCTAAATCAAATGAGAATAAGGCCTAGCTTTTTATATTAATGCAGTTCTTCTTTCTTACCCCAAAACGAGAGAGAGAGAGAGAGAGAGAGAAAAAAAAACCCCATGCCACCACCAAGTATTCAATCCCTCTAAGCTGTCAGTCGGTTTATGGTCCTGCACCATGCAGTAAAAAAAGAAATATTTACAAAGTGTGCTAATACAATCCTTTGGTTTAAGATGAGTCATTTCCTCTAATCTAATTATAGTTAACATCTTTTCCATTAGTATAGAATAATACAGGTGTTGGTAAATAAATTTCGTATCTACTATACATATAAAAGATAAAACAAAAAAGTATTGGTTTTTAGAGCCCAAAAAAAGATAAGAAAGAAAGAACAAGACAAAAAAAAATTTTTTTTAAAGTTTTTGAAGTTAATAATTTTGAAATTTATTGGTAACCATCGGTTTCCTAGTAGTTTCGCTGTAACCATTTGATGAATGGAGTCCTCATGTTTGCATTAATATTGGCCCAGTCTTACATGACTAAATAATCCTTCAATTCTTTTCTACATTTGTAGCTAAAAATGAAACAATAGCTTTAGGAATTTTTTTTCCAAACATATGCAGGGAATTCAGTTAACTCAGAATGAAATTGGCACACAACAAATCCCAAACCATATGCGGGGTGCTTTAAACAAGCCCTGTTCAGCTAACTGTTTGAGAATACAGGACATATATTTTCGTGGAATTGGTTCAATCTAATTGTAAAAGCACTTAAAGAAAATTAAAAAATAGACATGTTTATGGTCGTCTTCCACCAATATTGTAAAGGCTATGGATTTTTCATTATCCTGATTATAATACTATGAACATATATATATATATATATATATATATATTTTGGGAAAATCTGTTTCCCACTGTTGCCAGACTAATATATATACATGTAGACTTGCAATACCTTGGAACGCACAGCAGCTACTCAATTTAACACTGGACGATGGGAACAATGTGCAAATACATTATTTTTGCAGTTTTCCTAGTCCAATGTATGATGCCATCCTCATTAGGCAAAAATCTAGTGAACATCACCACTGATCCATCAGCTCTTCTTGCATTCAAATCCCAAATAACATCAGACCCCAACAAAATCTTGTCCAAAAACTGGACTTTAACATCCTCAATTTGCAACTGGATTGGAGTCGCTTGTAGCTCGGCACCTGAGAGTGACCGCATTAGATATCCCAAATATGAATCTTTCTGGAACCATATCTCCTCATCTGGGAAATCTTTCCTTCCTTGTTTATCTCAACTTGAGTGCCAACAATTTTCATGGGAATTTGCCCCACGATTTATCCCACCTGCATCGACTTAAAGTCCTCGATCTCGGCATTAATAATCTCGATGGAGAGTTACCAACTTGGCTTGGTTCATTCACCGAACTTCAATATTTGTCTCTGAGAAACATTAGCTTTTCTGGGCTGATTCCTACTTCCATCTCTAACATGTCAAAGCTGGAGCAATTAGTCCTGTCGTCCAATTCTTTACAAGGAAGGATCCCAATAGAGATTGGACATGTTGGTAATCTCAGGACACTAGCCATTAACTTCAATCAGTTGTCGGGTTCATTGCCATTTGAGATCTTCAATCTTTCCTCTCTTGAAAGACTTGCCTTGGTGGGCAACAAGCTTTCTGGCAGTCTTCCAACAAATCTCTGCAACCGTTTTCAGAAACTCTGGTGGCTTTCCCTATCAGTGAACAATTTATATGGTCCAGTACCATCAAATATATCTCAATGTTCACAACTTCAAGTATTATCCTTGTCCGTCAACAATTTTAGTGGTTTCATACCCAAGGGAATTGGCAATTTGAAGCAGCTTCAGTTGCTATACATTGGCTTGAACAATTTTACAGGTGAAATCTTCATTCTTGCCTTTACTGGCAAATGCAAACCTGTTGAGTTTACTTTCGTCTTTGAATACACATAATATAACAAAATATGACGCTTAATTGGAAACAAATTAGTCCACTACTAAAATCAACTATGCCTAAACAAAAAATTTTCGACATTTCACCTGACCTTCACCCTTTAGCAAATGAACTGTTTTAAGTCTCTCTTGTACCATAATGCAAAAAAAGAGAAAAGGAATTTGTTGAGTTAGACTGCCCAAAGGCTACATCTTGTTTGTCTTTTTCTTTTTAACAGCCGGGAGGAGCAAAGAGAGAGGGGGGGGGGGGGGAAGAAAAGAACACAAGGAAACTTCATAATTGAAGCACTGAATCAGCATCATTCATCACAAGTAGTGATAGTAAGTATATTTTTGAAAATCAACCCACCAATTCTTCTTCCGCTTGGCCACTTGGAATACTTCAAAGTCTACTGCATCTCCCACCATCCGGACCCTACAGGTTAGCGAGCTGCCCACGTCCTTATGCGTCTGATTCATTAAACAAACTCTCAAGTTGAAATGTGTCTGCCATCTAGGCGGTGCGGCCATCTAACTTTCTCTTGTTATGCTCTATCACTTCGAGCATAAGCTAAGATGTATAAAAAAAATATGAGAAGATAGTAATCTTTTAGTGCTTTGGTTAATTTGGATTTGGTGTATTAGATTGTTCTCAAAGAATGGATGGAAATGGATGTCATGTTATTTATAATTTCTATTTAGTAATTCTTAAATGTCATGACGAACAATTGTAGATTCTGCATAATTTATCGAGTCTGGTACTTCTATCGATTATTTATTTACTTTTTTTTTATTCTCCATTTTCATTTCTAACCATAATTATCTGCTTTCGACATAGTAAAATAAAGTACATAAACTTCCCACCCATAAATAGGTATCCAGTGACATACAAATGATTGTTGAAGATTTTCTAAACGTTATATTGAGTATGATGCATCAAGTCTACCATGTTATGTCAAGTATGACGCACCATGTCAACCACGTTATATTGAGTATGATGAATTTCTCCGAAATAATAAATATTCATATTCCTTATCCCACATCCTTTTCCGCAGGGGTGATTCCAAAAGAGATCGGTAATTTAACTATGCTTCAGGTTTTATCAATTCCTACTAGCGGCCTAACAGGTAAGAGCGTTATCAAATTGCAAAGTAACATCTTGCCTTCTTGAAGTCTTTGAAAGAATTGTTTTAAGGTCAAAATTCTTCAAAGTTTTCGTCCATATCAGTTTACTGTCCCCGCTTTTATGAAGGATAACTTACCTCAACATAAATTTCCATAGTAAACACTAAACAGCAGCTTACATTTCTGGCAGGCTTCATGATTTTGAAAAAGTTTTGATGTTTAAGCGACACAAGCCTATAATTAAGTTGTTGTTATATATTTGCAATCGGTCATATATACCCTTCTACAAGAAGCGGTCATTAAAGATGGAACAAAGCTAGTTATTTCCCTTATCTGCTTTGAAGTAGTTTAACCGTGTGAACAAGTCCTATGGACGGAGGAAAATTTACATGAATGTGAAAACCGTGTCTACCATACAACTAGAAGTGTATGACAACTGCCTTTTCGGATTAGGGGCGTAACAGATTGAGTTCTGTCCAGTACAAATTAGTTTATATAATTCTTATAATTTTGGGTATAAGGTTGTATAATTTGGGTATAAACTTCAACTTGTTAAACTTATACAACTAAGTTTATAATTGCATCAAAATTGTACGAGTCTACATCAAAAGTAGTAAAAATTATACGAATCGGTTTGAATTGGATAAAATTCAACTTGTAATGTCCCTCATCCATACCTTTCCTAACAAAATTAAACTTAATTATGGAATTTTATGAGAATGTCCTTTGTAACTGGAAATGAATCATAGATTTGCAATTAAAGTAAATTTTAAGCAAAACGCTTGGAATAGAATGCGGTAGCTCTATAAAAGTGTATGGGGATTATAAACGAATCGTACAAGACAACAACACGTTAGTGGAAATTTATCATTCAAATTTGGGTAAATTACGCTCATTCCCCCTCCCCGGTGGATTCCAAGAGCGTCACATAACTTGTCAAATGTTTCAAAATATCTATATAATCCTCTATTATTTTATGTAAAGTAGAAACTTGATGAAAAATAACTTCTATAAGTTGTTAATTGAAATACCAATATTGCTCTTATCTAAGTACTAAATCAAACAATACCTTGACCACCTTGTGTAGAACTATAAAGGGTTTACATGAATAAATACAAAAATTGCATGCGAATAAAGTGGATTGCATATTAAAGAGGGATTGAGTAGGTGTTATGATTCTATTACACACATTTTTTAAAACACATCTAGCTTAATCACCATAATTGCTAGTGCTTTGAATCAATTTTTCACTTTGCATAAAATTAAAGGAGGTTACGAGGATATTTTGAAACCTTAAGAGGGGTTATGTGGCAATATGAAAAATCACGGGAGATTATATGTAGTTCATCCTTAAAATTTTAAGCAAATCAAAGTCGAGAATAAAAAAGGGAACCAAATATAAAGTAAGAGAATCTAAGTGGGAAAACGCTGCGGTGGTTTGAAGTATTCAAAGGCACTACAAGTGAATAATCAAAAAAATACTAAATTTTGTTAAGATAGTGGTAAGATACGCTTACTCGTGTACAACTAAAATATAAGTACTACGTCTATAACTAAAATTGTTATTTGCTTAATGAAGCTTGCTACTTAAGTTAACAAAATTTAAGATCTTCTTATGTAAATGTCTTATACCCACAAATAATTGGAAAAGTTTTGTGGTTTTTTTAGAGGTGCAATGCCTTCTGAGCTTGTCAATCTATCCAACTTGCAAACATTGGTATTAGAAAATAATAGATTAACAGGTTCCATACCTGTAGGGATCTTCAACATCTCCACATTAGGAATACTATCACTTTCAAACAATTCTCTTCAAGGAAATCTTCCATCAAGCATCGGTTATGGGTTTCCCATGCTACAATTTCTTCATCTCGACACAACCAACCTTAGTGGAGTTATACCAGGCTCAATCTCAAATCTGTCTCAACTCATCGTCCTTGAACTGGATGAAAACAAATTCAGTGGTTTTATTCCTGGATCCCTTGGAAACCTACAACTGCTTGAAAGGATATTAGTATCTTCCAACCTTCTAAGAAGTGATTCTTCAAATGAAGAACTGGGATTTATTACTTCTTTAACAAACTGCAGAAATCTGAGAGCTCTGGGGTTTGACAAAATGCCATTATTAAATGGTAAACTTCCAGCTTCCATTAGAAATTTTTCTACCTCCATTGAAAGAATTTATGGATATAAATCTAACATCCAAGGTAGAATCCCAAAATCAATTGGAAATTTAAGCAGTTTGTTGTTGCTAAGTTTGTATGGGAATCAGTTGACGGGGCCAATTCCAACATCTGTAGGACGTATGTAGAATCTTCAAGGTTTGTTTCTTTATGAAAACAAACTTAGTGGATTTTTTCCAAAATCTCTGTGCGGATTACAGACACTATATTCTGTGTACTATGATACGAACCAGATTTCGGGGCCAATTTCAGAATGTCTAGGAAATCTTACTGCTTTGAGATATCTTTACCTCGAGTCAAATAGGCTGGACTCTAGTATCCCTTCGAACTTGTGGCAGCTCAAAGATCTAATAGAGCTCAACCTATCCTCTAATTCTTTAACAGGTTCTTTACCACCTGAAGTTGCAAATTTGGAGGTTGCAACAACATTGGTCTTGTCAGTGAATCAGTTCTCAGGAGATATTCCAAGTGCAATAGGGAAATTAGGGAACTTGAATTATCTATCTTTAGCACAAAACCAATTTCAGGGCTCAATGCCTGAGTCGATGGGGAAGATGGTAAGCTTGCAAACATTAGACCTGTCACACAACAACCTGTCAGGTTTGATCCCAAGCTCACTCGAATGGCTTCAATCCCTTTTGTACTTCGATGTTTCTTTCAACAAATTGAGAGGCCAAATTCCTAGTGGAGGCCCTTTTGAAAATTTCACTAGTGAATCATTCATTTCCAATGAAGCATTATGTGGACCTACAAGGTTTCATGTGCCACCATGCCCAAAAATCTCCAATCATCACAAATCAAAGACAACTAGGATTGTATTAATTTTTTTAGGGATTATTGCAATTTTGGGTGCTTTGGCCGTCTTTCTGGTGTACCTACGATACCACAAGAAGAAAGATAGAGCTTCCAATGACAATGCTTTATTATCATTGGGAACATATGAAAGGATTTCCTACTATGAGCTTTTGCAAGCAACTGATCGCTATAATGAAGGCAATTTGCTCGGTACTGGGGGATTTGGATCGGTCTACTGTGGTACTCTTAATGACGGGAGAAAAGTTGCTGTAAAAGTATTCCATGTACAACTTGAAAGGGCACTCAAGAGTTTTTACACAGAATGTGAAGTACTACGGAACCTTCGCCATCGAAATCTAACCAAGGTCATCAGCGGTTGCTCTAACAATGATTTTAAGGCTTTGGTGCTTGAATTAATGCCAAATGGAAGTCTTGCGAAATGGTTGCATTCTCCCAGCTGTTTTCTAGATATGAAACAAAGATTAAACATAATGATTGATGTGGCATGCGCATTGCATTATCTCCATAATGGTTATTCAACCCCAGTCGTTCATTGTGATCTGAAGCCTAGTAATGTCTTGCTTGATCAAGATATGATTGCACATGTAAGTAATTTTGGGATTGCAAAGCTGTTGAATCAGGAAGATGGTATTACACACACTGCAACGATAGCTACGTTTGGTTATGTAGTACCAGATTAGTAGATTTCTTGAACATATATATCAAGTACTGTTTTTCTGTAATTAATTTACCTTCAAAATTTTACATTTTTTTTTTTTTGGTGAATCTCTGTTTAAACCTGGCATTCTTTGCAGAATATGGATTGTAAGGACTCGTATCGACAAAATGTGATGTTTATAGTTATGGAATCATGCTGATGGAAGTCTTCACAAGGACAAAGCCTAATGATGCAAGATTCAACGGCAATTCAAGCTTGAAGGACTTGGTGCAAAGTTCTATGCCTAATGCTCTATATCAGATTATAGATGCCAACTTGTTGCAGGAGGATGAAGAACACTTTGCAGAAAAGCTGGATTGCATATCGTTTATCATGGAAATAGCTCTAAATTGCTCAAGAGAATCCCCAAGAGAGAGGAGCATGCAATATTGAGACAGTGCTTAGAGAAATGAACAATATCAAATCTAAACTGTTATGAATTGATAGAATGCACTGAATCATAATCTCCGGTCAATGGTAGAACTTCTACAGTTGTTTATGAACTGTTAGAATTCATCATTTCTTCCTTAAAATTTCTTGTAAAGCATTTTGTTACTTGAACTTATAATAATGTATCACATTAGACTTTTAATTCAATTGAAAACAACGCCTGTAATAGTTACACAAGGGCTATAATCATAATTGACAAATTTGAAGTCTTTGCCAAAATGGACTTAGTTTCTAGTAGTTCTAATTTTCATGCCCAACAGTTGGGAGCTTTTGGGTCCAAACTTGCAATAGATGTATCTACCAGCTTCCTAGAAAAAAAAAAAAAGTAAAATTGTAGAAATAGCTCGAACATTGATATGAAATTAATGTCTTTTGACTAATTATAGGGTTATAGAAGCTAGTATTTAACCAAAGAATTCCTTACATGCAATAAAATATTCTTGTGAATCCCAAATCAAAATCTTTTGGCAATCTGTATTACTTTATTTATAATCAACTATCTTTAGAGTAGTTGATCATCAGGAAAGCATTAAACCTCTCCCTGGTTTAATCTTCTTCAGGTCAGCTATAACTTGTTTCATGTTGATCCTTCACTCGGACACTTTCTACATCAGTTTAAAGTTAATATAAAGATCAATAAAATGCACTCCAGCTTGTCAGTGAAATACTCTTCCTCTGGCCGTATTCATTTGAAAGGAATCTTTTTTTTTTTTTTTGTTTTTGAAAAAATTTGAATGGAATCTTTAATCCAAATTCATTTTAAGACATTTCATTACTAGGCTTCATTCTCGAAAAAGTTTCATTAATAAACATGAAAAAATTTTGAGGGGACAAGAAGTATGATATTATGAATTTTTTATGTTAAAACCTGGGGTACAAAACAAAGATTTTAAAATGTTTAGGGGAAGGGGGGGCAGTGTAAATCTGTCCTTGGGGAAATATATTTTATTTGCCTTTTTTTAAAATACCTAAACCTAATGGAGCCCCATGAAAATGGCAATAACAATTATTGGATAAAATAATGACTTCCCAGACAAAAAATGGTGCCTTTTCTAATTCCATGAATTACAACTTTTGGTCCTCCGTGTTAATTTTACTTTTATCATTAGTTATTCTGTTAATTTCAACATATTCTCTTTTAGAGTGGAAATGGGAATAGTACCCCAAAACTCCTACTATGGCTTCATTCTATACTGCTTTGCATAAGTTCCTATATAACTTTAGATGATGATATTTGTATTTGGGAGTTTAAGCAATTTCTCAAGTTTCATTTTCTATTGTACCATGAGTAAATCCTAATTTATTCTTTTCAAGTTTTAATTATGACTTCAAACACTAATGGCAAAAATGCATTTTAGTTCTTCAGGATGTGAACCAAATTAATCCCCAATATTTGGGCCAAAACATATACAGCCCCCCATCCAAAAAACAAAAATACATAGTTTGGCCGAATTGATCTCGAATGTCTTGACCTAGAGAAATGTAGCCCAAAAGTATTCAATTGTCTGTCATGTTGCATAAAAATCTCATAAAAAGTTATGATAATTACATAAAAAGGTATTAGAATGATAAATACTATAGGAAAAAAACAAAAATTACAAAAAATAATAAAAATATAAAATAAATACACTATTTTCTATTTTGCATAGTATTTGTAAATAAAATTTACACTTATGAAGAGAAAAACACATTTTACAACTTTAGAAAATGCCCTAAAACTAGATTATTGTTTCAGGTCCTAGACTTATTATTACACCTTGTAAATAAAGCAAAATAAGTTTAACAACCAAAACTTGATTATTGTACATTTTATATTACTTAATCCATGATTATAAGAAAGTATACAAATAAACAAACGGAGCACATCACATGATTTATGAATTCAGTAAATCTGCCAAATCTAGCATTGTCTTCATTTGGACAGAATTTAGTATTACACTTATTTTACAGTTTCTAAATTTTTTTCAACCTTTGTGCTTTTTATATAATCTCATTTAGTTCTTGTAATTCAACGGATTCTGCTGTTTTTTAAATACATTTTTGGTGACGTCCTGCAACTTTTCAATGCAACACCGGGGACAAATTTTGCCAAATTAAATATTTTAGGGACTATATTTGTTCAAATTAAAACATTGGGGAATAAGTTTGGCCAAAATTGAATATGTTAGGGACTACATTTCCTATGACCAAGGATCAGAGTTCAATTTGGTTCACACACTAAACATTGAGGATTAAAATTTCAATTTTCCTTAACTTCTTTTTCTTTTTTTTGGCAAAAAAAAAGGTCAGTTTTCGCTAACTATATAGATGGAGGTGCTCTTAGAGATATAAGGACGGTATAATTGGTGTGAGAGTACCTAAGCTTTGAAATCATAAGGTTGCGCATATATTAAATTTCAAACATGATTGACTATAGCAAAACCTGGCTAAAGTATCAGGGCATAATTGTCGAATCTGTTCAAATAAATTGCAGTAATGACTTGGACTAAAAAACCAGGCATTAAATATTTAACTAGTACCCAACAATATTGACTTAGTTTGCAGAAATTAAATTACAACAAATCAGATATAATTGGTCAAGGATCCGAAAAAAATTTGCTCCTTTGTCTCCAGGCCAATCATATTAAGTTGACCTCTGCTCTCATCCAAGAAAGTATAGCCTTCTGGTCTGAAATTACAATTTGATCATGAAGAAAACTCACAAAACATGCCTTTTGATTCATCATTTGTTGATACTTTGTTTGACAACTTGCTCAATCATTGCAGCAAACGACATCACCACTGATCAATCTGCTCTTCTCGCCTTAAAATCCCATCTCACTGCAGACCCTCGCAATCTTCTGAAAACCAATTGAACTACTTCTGCATCTACATGCATCTGGAATGGAGTTACGTGCAGTTCTCGCCATCACAGGGTGACTGCCTTAAATATTTCAAACATGGGTCTTACAGGCACCATTCCTCGACTACTTGGAAACCTTTCATTTCTGGTTACTCTGGATTTGAGTGGCAACAAATTCCAGGGAAGTCTGCCTCAGGAGATTGTTTATTTGCACAGACTTCGGGTGATCAATTTAAGTTTCAATAACTTCACTGGACAAATTCCTTCCTGGTTTAGCTTCTTAACCTGCCTCAAATACTTGAATCTGAAAAAGAATAATTTTACACGTTTGATCCCTCATTCTCTCTTCAACCTTTTAAAGCTTGAAAACTTGATTCTATCATCCAACTCCATTCAAGGAATCATTCCAGAGGAGATTGGAAATCTTCATAGCCTGAAGTATGTAGACATTGAAACCAACCAACTTAATGACTCCATACCATCTTCAGTCTTCAACATATCAACGCCAGAAACTATAGCGCTTGGACATAGCCCGTTTGGAAATCTGCCTACTGATGTATGTCTCAATCTTACAAAACTGAAAAAGCTTAGTTTGTCTTCGAATAAGTTAAGTGGCCAAATACCATCTAGCTTATCTCGGTGTTCACGACTTGAAATACTTCTTGTCCTACAACAACTTTGGTGGGCTCATTCCAAAAGAAATTTGGAACTTGACGACACTAGAATTATTATATCTTGGTGACCACAATTTTAGAGGTAGGTATAACTTTAGTCATCAACTCTGTTATAGAAATGAGTAAGTCGATGGATGAATGATACGTGCTTTTCAATTAATTATTAATGACCCGAGTTCTTGCAAATTTTTGTCACAAGTTCATTGTATTTTCACAGGTTCAATTCCAAAAGCGGTTGGTGCCCTATGCAATTTAAACATTCCGAGCTCAACTGGAGGTCTGCAAATGCTATTGACACTTTCTTTGGCAGAAAATAAGCTACAAGGATCTATTCCAGACTCGATGGGTGACTTGTCAAATTTGGTGTTCTTGGACTTATCCAATAATAATCTTTCAGGTCTAATCCCAAAGTCCTTGGTGGCACTTCAATTTCTCAGTTACGTCAATCTTTCTTTAAACAATTTATGGGGTGAAATTCCATCTGATGGCCCTTTCAAAAACTTCACGAGTCAATCATTCATGTCTAATGGAGGGCTATGTGGTAGTACAAGATTTCTTGTTCCTCCTTGCAGCACTTCCATGGGTCACAAGTCAACCAGGAAGAAAACATCTCATGTAATATTCATTACCTCTGGTATTGGAGCAGCATTAATGGCTATAACCTTAACAATAGTATTTCTAATGTATCGAAACAAAACTGAGGTGGGTAGGACTGAAGGGATATTGGAGATCAGAACTGTGCAAAGGATTTCATATTATGAGCTTTTACAAGCAACTCATGGTTATGAGAAAAGCAATTTGCTTGGCACAGGGAGTTGTGGATCTGTCTACAAAGGGATTTTAAAAGATGGGATGCTAGTGGCGGTTAAAATGCTCAATTTACAAGTGAAAATTTCACCAGGGAGTTTCGAAAGAGAATGTGAAGTGTTTCGCAACGTTCGCCATTGAAATCTCACAAAAGTACTTGGCAGTTGCTGTAATAATGATTTCAAAGCTCTAGTTCTTGAATTCATGCCTGGTGGTAGTCTTGAAAAGTGGTTGTATTCCCACAACTATTTCTTGGATATAATGCAGAGATTAAACAGAATGATAGATGTGGTGCGTGCAATTGATTATTTTCATAATGGCTACTTGATACCAGTGATTCATTGCGATTTGAAGCCTAGTAATGTCCTGCTAGATGCAGAAATGGTTGCTCATGTAACCGACTTTAGCATCGCAAAATTGATGGATAAAGACGACAGCATCGTCTACACAAGAACGCTAGCCACCTTTGGTTATATTGCACGGCTAAAGTCTAAAACTAACTCTTCAATTTTCTTTTAAATTCCAATTTTGCTTCAGGTCCTTTGCAACAGAGGTCATGTAATTGATTCTTTAAATATAATGGATTACCACTGCAGAATATGGTTTGGAAGGACTAGTATCAAGGAGGTGTGATGTTTATAGTTTTGGAATCATGTTGATGGAAACTTTTACGAGAACAAAGCCCAGTGATGAAAAGTTTACAGGAAATTCGAGTCTCAAACTCTGGATAAAAGACTCCATGCCGCATAGTGTATAAATGAAGTTCTGGATGCTAACTTACTAAAGCCAAATGAAGGGAACTTCACAGGAAAATTGGAGTGTGTTTCTTTAGTTATGGAACTGGCTATGCATTGCACTGCAAAATCTCCTAAAGAAAGGATCGGCATGAAAGATGCTCTTGCAGCTCTAGAGAAGATTAAGGTTCAGTTTTAAAACTCTGCTTTCTAGATTTGATTTTTTGTAGTTGACAGTTCGAAGTCCTAATAGAGCACCAATGCCTGTAAATCATTTTCCTAGCCACTTAATAAAACGTTTTGTTAGATCTCGAAATAACAGCATCCTTTTGAATAGAAGGAAAAAAATTTAGTTTGATGGGATTCAGACCTCTGATGCCAATAGTCAATCAAGATTCAATCATGAACCCCACTGTAGTACCAGTTTATTGGGTTTCAGACGCGGAATAAATCACTATTGAAAAATTAAGTACACAATAATTTAATGATAAACAAGTCACTAATACAAAAATAAACAATACACAAAATTTAACGTGATTCCTTATTGAGTCTACATCCATAGAAAGAATACCCGTTTTTGTTATGAGATAAAAAACTTTACACAAGAATACAATTTGAATCCAAACCCAACGCTTATATACCATCTCTCACACCTAAGAGTCCTCTCTTACCCCATGTACAAAGCTACATGGCTCCTTGTGTGCCACTTTGTAGTATACCAATCCCCGCCTATTTATAAGTCACATTACTACCGGACCAACATCAAAATAATAATAGGATTTAAATGCTAATTCCTAAACTCATACAAAACAGGAAATAGTTTCTAATTCCTAAACTCATATAAATAGGAAATTTTTTAACTACTACTTCAAGTAATTAAAATAATTAGGAAACTAGTTACTTTCATACAAAATAAAGAACCCACCTAAAAGAAATTAAGCCAATTTGAAGAGAATCCAATAGAGATAGTAAAAGTGCACGCCATCAATAATGGAATTACCTTTCAAGTGCTCAGGAGAGCAACCTGAGGAGAGGATACTGATTGGAGATGTTCTAACTTCACTTTAAAAAAATAAAAAAAAAATTCTCCACATTAAGAGCTGACAAAAGCCCCAAAGATAGTACGCATAAGAGAAATTTAGAGTGATATAGGTTGATGTCATCGTAAATATTGCCACATTTAGACCAAATATAGGTGCAAATAATTTAGGTTAACAGTGATAACATCATAACTGATCTTTTGATTTTATATGAGCTAAGTGGTTGTAGACTTTGTTTCTTCTCTTGTAAAACAACTAACAAATGTTGTCCTCTAAAGCATGTATATAATTCTCCCCTTTACTCGTACATTTTTTCTTGGTATGTTATTTATTGAATTTAATCAAGATAAAGTTCTCTTTTTGGTAACACTGGTTCACTTCAATTCCCTAAACAACTTGGCATAACCAAACAGAGAATTTGCCACCCGACCTTTGGCCCAGTGGTGTGGGAGGTTAAGGGTTGAACCCTTGACTTCCCACCAAAATTTTGTCACAATATGTGACGACCTTAATTGGTCTTCTTCGATAAAGTCTCTATTTACATCGAGTCCCCCTCCTCCCTAGATTAGTTATAAGAATTCTACCTTCCGACAAAAAAAAAACCAAATAGAGAATCTGTGCCAACTGAGCTTATTTATATTGTGTACAAGTAAATAGTTTGAAAGGACATATATTTAGGTCTAGGATGACTTTTGCTAGAAACTTCCTGGTAAGTGGAAGCATGTTCTTCTTTACTTGCCTCGGATGTCAATAGACTTTTCCTTTGAGGTAGCTCTACCACCCTAGTCTTGGAAACTTTTTAGCAAATCTCTATGTCAAGAATTGCAATGTTTCACTTTAATATTATCTACATGAATTCTATTAGACTTGACTTTTTTTTTTGTTAAAACTAAAAAAAAAAAAATCAAAGGATGCTGGCAGAAAGTCCATAAGATCAAAAGACTCCAACAAGAAGGACGTTGTTATTATCTCTAGCTAGTAACTATTACATTAGTGTCCTCAGTACAGTCAATAGTTAACCATTCTTTAAATTAAAATGGTGCATTAAAGGCTGATAGCTGAAGCTTGATTAAGTACATTCTTTATAAAAATGCTTCACCAATTCTCTGATACTTCATACTTGCACATCTCTGTTTCTGTTCCACACCCCAAGTCCAATAGAGTTTTATATTCTCACAATTTTCGTTCCACGTATAAATGGACAGCTCAAATTAGGTAGGGATATTAAAGTTCTGATATGTGATGATTCAAAGAATCCCAAAAGAACAAAGGGAAGTGACAGTTGCCAACAAAAGCCATGCTTTCACTTAACTCTTTTAAACGACTTGTAGGATATAACTGTTGTAAAGGAAGAAAAACAAATAACAGCTACTATTCTTTCTGTAGTTTAGAGAGGAACCTAAGCAACCTGATGCATTCATTTGTAGAAACGAAACATTTATTGCAATCTTAATACATGATAAGGCTAAAAGATACATAATCAGGTCCACATAAGAAGTAACCAAGAATTTAATCAAAATTCAAAGAAAGCAAAATAAAACCAATTATCTATTATGCCCCATAACTGAAAGTCCAAATTCGGCATATATAATGGCACCCATGGAATCAAGTACATAACTCTTGAGCCTTCAAAATAATCAAGCTTTTGAATTATATAGCAATATCTGTTTGATCTGGTCAAAACATTGTATTTGATCCACTCAAGGTCTGAGAGTTGGCTACAAGAAATAGTAGGCCATGAGTGCAAACAAATAAGGAAAGTAACTTCTATATTGAAAGATAAAATTTGCACAAAATTGCTAAGCACTTACTGTCATAAGAAGCTGGTGTTTAATCTTCTTCAAATTTGCTAAAACATCTTTCATGTTCATCCTTTCCCCTGGAGATTCTCTACAGCAGTTTAGAGCCAAGTTCATGATCAATAAAACACACTTCAGCTTGTGAGTGAAATGCTGATCCTCTGGCCTTATTAAGTTCGCATCAACCACTTGAAGTGCATCAGGAAGACAATCTTCTACCCAGCTTTTAAGGCTTAAATCTCCTGAAAACATTTCATCACTAGGCTTCATCCTGGAAAAAGTTTCAATCAAAACTATTCCAAAACTGTATACATCGATTCTTGTCGAAACCATCCCCTCGGATCCATACTCTGTCGTAAGATTACAATAGTCAGAATAATAGAATTAGTTAAAAGATTAACAACAGATGAACAGCATCGTAGAAGTAAAGAAAATGTAGACAGCAAAAGCTAAATGCTTAACCTGGTGCAATGTATCCCAGTGTTGCGAGGGTGTTGGTATACAAAATACTTTCTCCTTGGCCAAACATTTTTGCTATACCAAAATCACTTACATGAGCAGCCATATCTTCATCAAGCAAGATATTACTGGGCTTCAAGTCACAATGTGCCACAGGAGTATGACAACCATAATGGAGATATTCCAATGCACAAGCAACATCAATCATTATGTTTATTCTTTGAAACATATCTAAAAAATGGTTGTGAGAGTACAACCACTTCTCAAGACTCCCATTGGGCATGTATTTGAGTACCAAGGCTTTAAAATCAGGGTTAGAGCAGCAGCCGAGCACTTTTGTAAGATTTCGATGGCGTAAACTCTTTAGTGCCTCGCATTCTCTATCAAAGCTTTTTAATGAATCTTCCGCTAGCAAGTTGAATACCTTGATAGCCACAACAGTGCCATCGCTTAGGATCCCTTTGTAAACAGAACCATAGCTCCCTTCTCCAAGCAAATTGCTTTCATTGTAGTTATCAGTTGAGCGCAAAAGGTCATAGTATGAAAATCTATCATATTTTTCCATTGACATCAACTCTGTTCCACCAGAACTCTTTGGTTTCTTTAGCCACCTTAGATTCAATAATGCTCCAATTGCTATTATCAGTATTGCTGCAATCCCTGACACACTAATGACAAGTAGAAGCACCTTTCTTTTGCTCGATCTTCTAATTGAATTACTCTGACATGGTGGAACACTAATCCTTGGGTCACCACAGAGTCCTTCATTGTTCATGAACAATTGACCTGTAAAATTTCTGAAGGGACCATCTCTAGGAATTTCGCCACTTAATCTATTAAAAGAAACATTGCATTCCTTAAGAGATTTGAGTGCCTCCATTGACTTGGGTATCACACCAGAGAGATTATTGTGTGAAAGGTCCAAGAATTCCAAGTTGACCATATGGCTAAATGATTCTGGTATGGAGCCCTGCAAATTATTTCTCGCCAATGAAAGGTTCTGTAAAACTTGTAGCATCCCAATTGTAGTAGGAATGATGCCTGACAATTGATTAGACGAGAGATCCAAACTGTACGTTGCTTTGAGGTTCCTGATCTCTAGAGGTAGTGATCCACTTAAGAAATTTGATGAAAGGTTGAGAATTTGGAGATCTTTCATGCTCAATAGGGTAGCAGGTATCATAGAAGTCAACCTATTGGTGTCCAAGTAAAGCTGTCTCCAATTTGTCATATTTCCTAAGCATTCTGGGATACTACCAAAAATTTGATTTTGGCTCAAGTCTAACAACCCCAAACTATGTAATCCACAGAAAATGTCCAAGACATCTCTTATTTGATTGGAGTCCAAGTACAACACCTGAAGATTTGCCAGACTATGCATAGTTCTTGGGACAGATCCAATCAATTCATTACCTGAAAATTCTAGTAGCACTAAACTGCTCAAATTGCTGATTCCATCTGGGATGTTTCCTTTGATTTTACAACTGTTTGCACTTATGGCTTCAAGTGAAGTCGAATAGTTAGAAAAGGAAGCCGGTAGAAAACCATTTAGAGGATTATTATCCAACACTAAATATTTCAAAGTTCTGCAACTCGTCAAGAAAGTGAAAATGCTCAATTCTGAGGATTGACTTGACAGCTTGTTGCGAGCCAAGCCTAGAAATTTTAGATTTCTTAAACTTCCTAAAGAGGTGGGGATTGAACCTGTGAGCTCATTATTGTAAAGCCCCAAAAAAACTAGCTTAGTAGCATTTGAGATGGTGCTAGGTATAACTCCGCTCAAGTAATTGTCATCAAGAAGAAGAGACTCCAAATTGCTTAGCTTATTACTCGCTGTCAAAGGAATAGGTCCTGAGAATTTGTTCTGATTAAGTTCAATATGTTGGAGAGATGAAATGTTAAAAATTGCTGCCGGTATGGAACCCGATAGTGTATTGTTGTATAAATAAAGCTCCTCCAATCTGTGAAGGTTCCCAATATTTTCGGGTATTCCACCTGTAATATGGTAATTGAACTGCTTTTGCGTTAGCATACAATCGGCAACTTTCCCTTGGCGATGCCTAGCAAGGTTCTAAAATTTAAATTTAAAAAAAAAATCTTTTAGAATAATAGAAAGTTATAGGTCTTCCCAAATCCTTCCAGCAAGGCTTTAAAACTAACCTCTTTGAACATAGGCCTAAGTTATCCTATAGATCAAACTGATGTGGAGTTTTAAAGACAGTCCACGCAATTGAGACCTAGTCACTAGGAACGAAGACATACCTGTCAATTTGTTGTTATGAAAGTCTAAAGCCGTCAACATAAGTAAATTCCCTATTTCAGCTGGAATTACACCTGCAAAATTGCTATTTTTATGAGTTTGATTTGACTTGTAATGAAACAATGTAGTAACAAACAATGATGAGATTTTAACTTTCCAAATGCATTAATTGGAAATAGTCGTGATCCTTTTATCCTATAAATCCAATCGCATGCCGAGCTTTGCCTATGGTTTAAGCAATCAAGAACTTGTCATTAGGAGCAAAGGCATACCTGTCAACTTGTTGTCGCGAAAAGTTAAAATCGTCAACATAGTAAGATTCCCTATTTCATTTGGAATTGCACCTGCAAAATTGCAACTTTTATGAGTTTGAATTGACCTGTAATGGAAGTATATAATAACAACGCTAATGAGATAATTGAATTCTCCAAATGCATTAATTGAAAATGATTATAGAATGTCTATAACGTAGCAGGGGACGATTTAACCGAACATAGATCAAGTTTGGCCATTTTACGATCATGCTTGTCTATCACAGTGTTTAAATCCAACTAACAGAACTATTGAATACAAAAAAGTACCCAATGAATATAAAACTGATTTTTAAGCATAAATCCAATCGCATGCCGAGCTTTGCCTATGGTTTAAGCAATCAAGAACTTGTCATTAGGAGCAAAGGCATACCTGTCAACTTGTTGTTGCAAAAATTTAAAGTCTTCAACATAGTAAGATTCCCTATTTCATTTGGAATTGCACCTGCAAAATTGCAACTTTTATGAGTTTGAATTGACTTGTAATGGAAGTATATAATAACAACGCTAAGGAGATAATTGAATTCTCCAAATGCATTAATTGAAAATGATTATAGAATGTCTATAACATAGCAGGGGAAGATTTAACCGAACATAGATCAGGTTTTACGGTCATGCTTGTCTATCCCAGTGTTTAAATCCAACTAACAGAACTATTGAATACAAAAAAGTACCCAATGAATACAAAACTGATTTTTCCCTACTCATTTAACGCACTAAATTCTATTTTTAAGCATAAATCACTAAATTAACAAAGAAAATTAGATAAGAGCTTTTTCCTATTGAATTCCTAAAAATGAGTGCTCCATTAAATCAAGGAAAAGGAACCAATTTCTATTTTGTCAAAAACTAGTGAGACATTACTAAAATTCAACAAGGATTTACACCAAAAAAAAAAAAAGAAGAAGGTATCAAATAAAAAACTATTCAAGAAATAATAGCTTATCTAATTTGTTTATAGAAAGAAAAACAAACCCATAAATTTAACAGATCAATGACTACGGGGTCAGGGTAGGTATGGTTGCAATTGTATTTTACATTGAGTTGATATACACCAATTTATTTCTAATAAACGTACACTATATTATGTAAAAAAAAAAAAAATGATAGCTGGACAAGTATACGAAAACCTAAAATGTATGACAAGAGCACAAGGCAATTGTTGTTTCTTATTATTTTACTTGCATTTTGTATCATTTAGTTGTAGTTTCAATTAGTAAGTCCAGTTTGCCAATTGGCCATTAGTGATCGGTTGCTTGTACAGAGGAGTTCAAATCCGTTAGGATTTTGGATCTTACATGTTGATTATAAAAAAGTACCAATTCATCATTCCAAAGTTACTCTTTTTTTTGTGGTCCCTAACTCACCAAGATAAACTATTTTCTTCTCAACAAGGATCAATAATGATTTTTGACTTATAGGTAAAGCATCTTACCAACTGAACCTGCTACGTTATTGTTATGATAAACTAATTAAAAACTCCTTAACATTTGAAAACTTGACTAATGTGGTAATTAAATAGAAATATTTCTTAACCAAGTTGAGAGATCCTTTAATATTTTTTGGTAATAATATGGACAAAAAATATATAAAAAAAAAGCTCAACTTCTGAATATTTTATGAAATGCATAAAAAGCATTTGAAAATACTGCAAAGATGAATAAAATAACTTCTTTGCACCTTGAAAACATCTCAAATGAATTTTAAATATGATTATGAATAGTTTCTCTTCTTTCTAATTTTCAAGCCATCGAGTTGGAGAAATAAAAAGTATGGACACTAAACAGTCTATAAAATTTCTTAAATTTACTCAAAACATATTACATAAAAGGAAAGATTTCTTTTATTCGGTACTCTAAGAGCATGTTAAAAAATGAAGATAAGCCCAATATTAAAGTTCTAAAAACAAAACTGACCCCCTAAATTGCAAAATTTTTGGGTCCATTCCTTTCGCCAAAAAAAAAAAAAAAAAATCTACAACTTGTTATGTGATCTTAGACCACCAAATAGACAAATCCCAAAGAAAAAAAATTACTTTTGTCGCTTGAGAATATCTTAAATGAACTTTTATTAATTGTTTGCGGATTAAATGAATATGCTGCTTATGTTTTTAGTTGCCATAATTTATCACAGCAGACTTGCATCTTCATGTTTTTTGTTTTTGTTTTCAAGTCTTAATTAATATAATTGTAACTGTGTAAAATAATAGTGTAACAAACGGCATTGTTAGAAAGAAATTATTTTCCTTTCACTAGAATAAGTGGTTTAATCATATATTTTGATTGGGTTGAAAATATTACAAAATTTTAAAAATGGGAGAAACAACTGATATTTTTAACCTTAGAAGTTAGAATCACAGTGATACTGTTAGTAGCAAAATTAATAAAGTCAAAACGTGCGCCGAGGAGAGTTACCACTTACCAAGGTGCACGCTGCTTCTTCCTGCTATTGTTGGAGCTCTCCTGCTTCAATGGGGTAGTTTTTTTACAGTGGTTTGTGAGCGTCTACTTCCCCGATTACTTTTCCTCGGTCAAATTTCTTTGTTTCATCTTGTTTTGCGTGATCTGGTGGGATCTTTGAACTAGACACTTATGGCTCCTTTTTCAGAACTAGTGCCTATTTTGCATACTAATTCAGCGAAAGGAAGACATGCAATGGTTCCTTCCAAGCGAATTCAATGGCCTGATGTTGGGAATGGGCGAAATTTGCTAATGGTTATGAATGGGAAGGACGATCATGAATTTCCAACTCTAGTTGAAGCGCAAGGTTTGCGATAGGTGGATTGTGGGGAATCTAGTGCAGGAAAACAAAGGGATCTGTTGACAAGAGATTTGTGTGTGCAAGTTGTCAAATCCAAGTCTTCTTACAGAGGTATGCATCTTAATTTTGATCCTCTGGAAAAGACTGCTAATGAGCATTTGTCTCTGGTAAAATTGGATCTGGATGATGTACTTGAAGGCATCAACAAATGGAAATATGCAGTAGTTGGGTTTATGGTGGGAACTTTGCCTCCTTTCTCTGTAATCAAAAAATTTGTTGATACGAAGTGGAACCACTTGGGAAAAATGGAAATTTTCTGTGCTAAGCAGGGGATCTTTGTGTTTAACTTCTCTGACGAGGCTAGTAAAAATGAGGTACTCGAGCAATCACCCTGGCTATGGGGTAGTAAAATGCTTTTCTTAAAGCCTTGGAGTCTGGATTTTGATCTGTCTAAGGATATCTATTCCACTGTGCCCATTTGGATTCGATTTCCAAGTTTGAAACTGGCAAATTGCACTATTATACCCCTAGTGTTCTTAGCAAACTAGCTAGTGTTGTGGGAAAACCACTATATACTGATCATCATACCGCAGCTCAAACAAGAGTTGGATTTGCTAAGGTCTGTGTTGAATTAGATATAAAGACAGCAAGACCTACGAGCATCCCATTTGTCAATGAATTTTGGAGGAAGGATTATTAGCAAGTGGAGTATGAGTGGGTATTATCCAGTTGTAACCACTGTTGGAGTTTTGGACATTAGGCAAATAAATGTCTGTCAGTTCCCCAGGTGATTAAAAAATGGATGCCCAAACAGAAAGAAGAGACAATGGTTGGTGTAAAGAACAGTAAACCTACTATCCAAGAAGAAAAAAGAATGATTGTTGCAAAGGCTGGCAAGTCTATTATGGAGCTTGAACAGAATCATGACAAAGGGAAAGATGTGATGGATCATAAAATATTGGAAATGGCTTTACCAAAAGAGAATAGTAACATGATCCCTGAGAGTGGTTGTAGTGAGCCAGTTGCTGATATGATGGGAAAGTCAATTCCTATCATTGGTATTGAGATTGCTCTACTAATTGCAAATAGTTATTCTTCTTTATCGAGTTGAGAGGATAGTGATAGTAATATTACTGCAAAAAGTTCAAAAAGTGTAAAGTTGAAGCAGAGGCGGAAGGGAAAGTGTAACAAGATGCCTATCTCATCATAAAGTCATATGTTGGAATATTAGAGGTCTCAATATACTTGTAAAACAAATAGCTATGTAAAAACTAATATCTGAATTACATGTGGATAGTATTGGCATTTTTGAGAATAAAGTCAAAATGCATAACATAGATAATGTGATGCAAAGATGTATGCCTGGATGGAGCTATTTTCATAGTGCTACTAGTAATACTGCTGGTAGAGTCTTGTTTTGGTGAAATGGGACAAATGTGCAGTGTCAACTTTTTAAAATGCACCATGAAGCAATCACTTGCTTAGTACAAGTTGTGACCTTAAAGATCCCTTTTATGGTAACTATGGTATATGGTATGAATAAACCTGCAGATAGAAGACCTTTGTGAAGTATTTGATGGAGTTGAACCGGCAAATAGGTGGTAATCCTTGGGCGATCCTTGGAGATTTCAATGCTCTGAGATCTGCTGAGGATAAATTTGGTGGTTATGATTTTGACTTTAGGTAAATAGAGGAGTTTAATACCTTTATTGAGACGATGGATGTAGATGAAGTTCCTAGTATAGGACTATATTATATTTGGTGTAGTTTGATAGATGATGGAGTTAAAATATATAGTAAATTTGATAGGGTGTTTGCAAATGATGCATGGTACTCCTCTTCTAGGAATGAAAGTTGAATTTTTGCCTCCAAATGTGTCTGATCACTCTCAAGTTTCTGTCAGAACTGTAGATACTATAGACTTTGGTCCCAAGCCCTTTAAATTTCACAGTTTTTGGTTGAAGCATGAGCAGTTTAGTGATGTGCTAAGGGCTTCTTGGTCACTTGTTGTTGTTGGTAATCCACTCAAAAGTGTGTGAAAAGCCTAGAAAATTGAAAGTTGAGCTCAAACTCTTGAATACAAAGCACTTCAGTAGTACCAGTGCCAGAATGCTGCAAAAGAAGGCTCAATTGGATAGCATTCATGTTGCTTTCCAATCAGAACCTAGAAATAGTGAGCTGATCTAGAAGTGTAAGTCAACAACTAATAAGTTTGCAATACTAGTGATAGCTGAGGAGCAATTTTTCAAAGAAAAATCTCGAATTCAGTGACTAAATATGGAGGACAGAAATACTATTTTTTTCTCTAGAAAAATGAAGAGCAATATTGCTAGAAATAAAATCCTGTCCTTAATCACAGATGCTGGAGAAAGAGTAACTGATTATGAGTTGATGAAGGAAATAGCAGTTCAATATTATAAGAATCTTTTTAGTTCTAAAATCAAGGTATCTATTAGAGATGATCTCTCCTATTATCTCTGATGAGTAGAAACAACAATTGCAAACACCTGGCTTGAAGAATGGGAAATCACCTGGACCAGATTGATATGCCAGTGAATTCTTTAAAGGCAGCGGGGATACAATTGGAAGGGAGATTGCAGATGCTATAAAGTTCTGTTTTGAACAATGTTATATGTTCTATCCCCTAAACAGTACTTCTGTACTTTGATTCCAAAGGTGAAGGATGCTATTCATATGAAGGACTATAGATATATTTCCTACTTTAATACACTTATACAAGTGTATTGCTGCAATGCCTGCTGTTAGATTGAAGAACGTGCTTCCCACGTTCATTTCAACTACTCAAAATGCTTTTGTGAAAGGCAGACATCGATCTCCCCTTCCAACAATTGATGCTGCTTTAGCAGATAGTGTTCTTTTAATGCATGCATTGGTAAGAGAATATCAGAGGAAAGCCAAGATTTGTCATAAAAGTGGATTTGATGAAGGCCTGTAATGTTAAAGGGTTAAGACCCATGCGAAAAGAGTGTTTATGTTATAAATCTATTTGACAAACCTTAGGATCTGATACGTAATTTAATCAAACCTCAAAAGAGGTAAATGTAATTTACCAAAGAATATATGCACGCTCGTACATAAACGTGAATGTTTATGTGGGCGTATGTGAATCCCAAAATCCAAAATGAAATCCACAAATAATAATCATAATTTATACACAACACGCACTATACCAAAATAACTAGAACTCCTAACAATTATACTCTAAACTAAGACACCAATTTAAAACTCATAAAATTACCGTACACTTGTACTAAACACTTGCCGTCCATTTATACATGCACTAAGTTACCACAATTAAGGCGGTGCTGATTTCCTTCGGGAAGATTCTAGAAATGTAACTTGCATCTAGACTAATCTAGACTAATAGAGAGAGGCTGGGCTTTCACATCACTGCCTATCAAAACCGCAAAAAAAAAAAAAAGGACAAATGTTGGTATAGTTATTATGTTTCTATGAAACCTCCATATAGAAGAACAGAAGCATAAGCTTACTAGATATCTATGAAGCATATACAAGAACAGAAACATAAGCTTAATCTATACTTAAAAGATAGGAATGAAAGCAGTCACTAATGCATTTTACCTGTTAATTTGTTCGTCTGCAGGAGTATTTCCTCCAGCATTGTCAGGTTCCCAATTCCCATGGGTATCGGTCCAGTGAAATGGTTCCCAGACAAGCAAAGATACCGAAGCAGTGAACACTGAGACACCGTTGAAGGTATTCGACCGATCAAATTGTTGTCCGCTAGATTAAGCCATGTGAGTTTCTTAAGGCGCTGACAGATGTCGTCCGGAAGAGTGCCATATAGGTTGTTATTCCAGAAGGCAATGTTTTCCAGTGAGGAAATGTTGAATACATGGAGAGGCAAAGGACCGGAAAGCTGATTCCACTCAATAATCAAAGTCTTCAAATTATGAAGATTCTGAAATTCTGTTGGAATGGTCCCCTCAATGGAATTGAAAGACAGATATAGCGTCTCCAATTTTGACATGTTAGAGATGGAAGGCGGGATAGAACCCGAAAAGCTATTGTTTGCGAGAGACAGGTATTGGAGTTTATGTAAGTAACCAAAGCAGGAGGGAAGCTCTCCACCGAGATTGTTGATCTTAAAATTAAGGTATCTCAATCTGCGCAAGTGAACTAACTCACGGGGCAACTCTCCATGGAAATTGTTCTTGCTAATGTTAAGGGAAACCAGAAAGGACAGGTTCCCAAGTTGAGGAGGTAAGGTACCAGTAAGGTTCATATTTGAGATATTCAAGGCAGTCACTCGGTGGTGTCGAGAGCCGCAGGTGACCCCTATCCAATCACAGACGGAGGAGGTAATGGACCAGTTTTTTGCCAAGATTTCTCGAGGCTCTGAATTGATCATGCGATCTCTTAGTGCAAGAAGCGCTAATTGATCCGTTGTAACATTACTGTTGCCGGCAGCCATCATGGCTAACGAAACTAAGCTAAAATTTATCAAGAAAAGGTAGTGAATTTTGCCCATGGCCTTGCTCATTGATCAAGTTGAGATTTTTTTTGACCGAAACTCGCATGAATTAGTGTCAGCAGCAAAATCATATATACTGAAGACGAGCGTGGAAGTCTTCATGACACAGTAACACGCACGTGGATGTGGGGAACAGCAATTAACTATGATAACATCAATAGGAGTCATCGTCCCCAGATAGATTGTGAAAATTTCATTTTCATCCCTTAAATGTTTTAAAGTTTTCAAAGTATTTTTTTTTTTTTGAGCTAAAATATTTGCTTCTGCACGAAACTTTGCAAGATCTTTTTATTATACCATCTAGTTCATATGAAATCAAATCATCGGCTCTATGCATCGAATCGAGATAGACGTAGCTATGACCAACTAGCATAGATGTCTATCATTCCGTAGGGTCACTTTCTAGCAAAATATGTGAATTAAAATTGAATACGGCTTTAAAATTGAATACGGCTTTCAAATTATTTGTGTATCCAAGGTGGGTGGAACATTAATGCTTCAAATTATTAAGTAGTCTCAATATCGGGGAAGATGCAGCTCATTATCTTACCTCCGGTCGTCTCTGAAGTCTCCCCTGAAAGTGAGCTCTAGACTTCTTCTCTTCCAATTTATTATATCCTTCAATTTTGATTGTTGACGTGGAAGAAACTATATAATCCTGTGGAAGCTTAGAAACTATATAATCCTGTGGAAGAAATCAAAAACATTTTTTGGGCAATCAATTTGTTATCCGAGCATTATACTACAGATGATATGATTGCTCAGATTTTATTAAAAACGTAAATTAACTAGTTTGTGGTATATCATGAACAAACAATTTTTTGCAAATTATATTTGTTTGATCTGCTACTATTTGAAAAATATTTTATGAACTATTCTTTTAACTCCTATCATCTTTTTAATCGGACAAATACTTGTTCCAATAAAGTATCATAATATTACTTTCTATATATATATATATATATAATTTGGTTTTTGTCACTGCTTTTTAGAAAATTCAAGCATATTTTCAACACTTTCATATCTAGTCGTCATTACTTTAAAAGTTTCACCACATTGGAAAAAGCTCATTACATTTATTTCTAACCAAGTTCAAATTTAGGCGTTTGGATTGTAAATTATTTGAGATAATTTTGTGCAAGAATGTAGCACTTTTTTTATGTGATGTATATGAGATAAAAAGGTGATTGAAAAATGTGTTGATGATGCAAACAAATCAGTGTGTGTAAATAAGGTATGAATAACGTGCTTTTTAAACACGCCAGTAAGGAGGGAACCTAAGGTAGGGATGTAAACGAACCAAACTCCTCGCGAGCAGCTCGCGAGTAGTTCGGTCAAAAGCTTGACTCGCACTCAGCTTTGACCGAGAGCGAGTTGAGCTCGAGTAGCTCGTTAATATATCAAGCCAAGTTCGAGTATTAATTTGTCAAGCTCGATGGCTCTTCGAGCCTTAACGAGCACAAATTAATTAATTAAAAATTATATATTTAGTTATTACAATTTTACTCTTTTAGGCTTGGAGTTGTCTAAATTACCAAAATGTTGGCTATAGCTTTAAAATATTTATAGGTCATATAGTCATTTCACAAGGAAAAAAATAATTTGAGAGGAAAAAATAATTCTAGAAGTGGACAAGAATCTCGAGCTCGAGTCATACTCACAAGAAATCGAATCGATCTCGAGTTTTCGAGCAATTTTTCATGTTCGAGTGCGAACTCCATTTCTGCTACTCGCTCGAAGTCGAGCAATATATCTCTACTGTCGAATTGAACTCGAGTATAGCAATACTCGCGCTCGATTCGACTCGATTACAGCCCTACCCTAAGGGACCGGGGCGGCGAAGGGCCACCGTCAAGTCTTCTTTAAACATCTTGTTGGGTTAGAACTTCGCACAATATCAGGTCGCTATTCGGTGACATTAGAATAGTCTTCAGAGACTATAGCATCAAGGTTAGCGGGTGTCCACCGTGCAAGACAAGTCAGCTTCTGTTTCATATAGTTAGACTTTTTATTTTGTAGCAAATATATATGCTGAAAAAAATTCTATTACGCATAAAGCTTTTGAGCATTGCCTTTTATATACATCGATTTTACTTATTTGCGCTTAATATTCATTGGTTGGTATATGATATGTGGAACATTGGCTTGTTTTGATATTAAATATACTCTGTTACAGTTCAAGTTCTGTGAAACCACAAAGGCCAAGTATTTAATCTCTATAATACTTGTATTGTAATGATAGTAAGCGCATTTGTTTAGCTGGTGGAAAAAATGTATTCAATTTGGCTTTTTGAACTTCAACTTGTTGCAAGCTGGGAAACTACAGAATTTTGTGGAAGAAATCAAAAACATTTTTCGACAATCAATTTGTTATTCAAGCATAATAGAAGATTTTTATATTACCACTTCAACGAAAATAATTTACAACCTATGACAAAAGTAAACCATATTTGATAGAAACCAGTTTAGGCCTTCATGGTGTATCATTTCTATCATGAAGGGAAAATTGCACTTTTGATTCCCAATGTTTGGGGTTTGGACTAATTTTGTTCTTCAAGTCAAAACACATTTCATCTTCATAATTTCATAATTTTGATTAATTGACAACCATTGATGGATTCCCAAGCAAGTTGGATGGAATATCATCACTTGATCCTTTTTAATTCACTTTTCCATTTCAGTTCAAAAAAGCCTTCAAAAATTTTCAGCCAAGATAACTCTCTCCTCATTCGTGCAATGAACAAGAGAATTTAGAAGAAAAGAAGCCATTATATGTGTTGTCACATCCCAAAATCGGGACATAACATCACCCTATCTAGAATCAAAATCAAAATAATTAAAATTTTGTGCATACTAACTTTTAAATCTTCCTGCCATGTACATCTGTAGCAATTGGCAATAACCAAGATGAACCCGAAATTCAACCTGCCATACAAAATACAACTATTTATCTAAGATACATTTATCTAAGTTCCAACAAATTTAACTCTGCTGTACCTTCAAGCTTAGGGAGCCTCGGTGATCTCTTGCATCTTGATTTGTCTTCAAACTATTTGAGTGGCTCTCTTCCCTCAGAAATCGGAAGTTTAAAGGCTGCAACACTGTTAAATGTTTCTATGAATCAAATTTCAGGGATCATCCCTAGTACAATTGGAGGTATGCAAGATGTGATTGATCTTTCCCTTGCATTTAATAGATTTGAAGGACCTATTCCTAGATCAATTAGATCAATTGGCTTATCCTGTAAACATCTACATTAAACGTCCATAGCGACGGTTCCATTACTTTGTGCTTATCCTGACTGATTCAAACCAATAGTTGTAATCTTTCTGCTCACGAGACCATGTCAAAACCGAAATGGGAGTTGGAGCTATCAATTAGTGGTGGAGCCAAGATCTAAGATTAATAGGAATTAAAAAAAAATCATTCTAGATGAATTATAGGGGGAAAATATGTTGATAATCGATAAAAATTAGAGATTTATAAAGGTACTATTTTGAATTCCATGTTTTACTATGAAAAATGTGATGACAATCTATAATTAATTCTTGATTATGTTACTAATTTGGTTTAACATTAATGGATCTTGGTAAAACAGTCTTGTAGCATCTTTTTGAATTGTTGTTAATTAGTGCAAATTTGAACATAACCAAAAACTACCAATCACAAAGTTAAACATGGATGCCCTACAATTTTGTCAGTCTAACTGTCCAAAATATACCTCAAAAGACTTTTAAATCAATTATTCCTTGAGAGGAAAAAGATGACTTGAAAAACTTAATGAAAAAAACCTCAAAAAACATATGGGTTGTTGAAGTAACCACCCCAACTCGGGAAGTTGATGGTTCCAGAAAACCACTTGTCGAAAAGTTAAAAAAAAAAAAATTTCAAAAAATAGAATGAAAAAGAAAAAAAAAAAAAAAAAGAATCAAGGTTCATGAGCCTCAACCTCTCCACCCTATCTAGAATCAAGGAAAAAAGTAACCACCCTGTCTAGAATCAAAACCAAAATAACTAAAATTTTGTACATACTAACTTTTAAGTCTTCCTGCCATGTACGTCCGTAGCAATTGGCAACAACCAAGATGAACCCGAAATTCAACCTGCCATACAAAATACAACTATTTACTGCTATAGCCTAATTCTATATACAAAAATTATCAAATAAAACAACCAAAGCAAGGCTGATCTAAACAAGTCTTTCATAATACATTTTAAAACACAATTGTCATAAGAGTCCTTTATTTGAAGATCAAAATAATAAATTTTGAATAGTTTAAAAATATTTGTGTCGTTTACTCCACAAAAATAGAGTACCATAGTGAAAGTCAAAGCAAGAGTATCCAATTCAGGATTGGGGCACCCGAGTAGATGGATTGACTTTCCAAGACCACAGAGAAAACCTCAAAAGAAAGTAGCAGATGCATGCATTAGACTCTGTATTTCGAAAATACAATATCTAAGGCAGGTTGGAAATGAATTGATGTATAAGGCGGCATCATAAATCAACAAGCGGCCGGTAATGGAGATTGACATGTAAGACAAAGAGGTAATGATTGATATATAAGACAAAGGAGTGTTTTATCTTGAAAATACACCAAAAAATGGTCGGCAATCAAAACCCCATTAAAAAAAACAGATAAAAGCCGGCTGAATACAGATTTATAAGGATCTATTCTTCTCTCAATAATTGAGAATCACATGATTTTCAAAATGACAAGAATTTTTCAAAATCCAAGAAAATTAAATCCCAAATTTTTAAATGTCATTGTTGTTGTTAAACCTTAACTTACACCGAGTTAGAGTGTGCACGTTTTAGGTTCCGTTTGATAAAACTGAATCTGAATTCTGAAGTCTGAATTCTAAAATCTGAATATTGAAACAATTAATTTGCTGAATTTTAAGCATTGAAAAGAAATATATAAATGTCTGAATTTGAATGCTAAACCTATTTATACTGTTTGATAAATATTTATAACTAAATGCTTAATAAGTTAAATTTGATAATTTTGCCCTTATATCGTTTCATCCAAAAAAGAAATAGAACCTATGATTTAATTAGCTAAAAATGTTAGATATGAAAATGACAATATTTATTTTTAAATCAAATTAATATAAAAGATGAAATATATTATATGAGGAGTATGCAGAAGATGTGAAAGTCATTTAAAAGGGAGAAAAGAGAAATAGAAAATCATTAGATAGAAAATATTAAGTTGTTTAATTAGATAAAAATTTTGAACATAATTATCAAACAAGGGTATATTTGGTAGATAAGATAAGGTAATTGAAATAATTTTATTGATTCTTATCAGAATTAAGCATTCAGTTAGGCTTCTTGTGCTGAAAAAAATACACACAAGTTCAGCACTACTTAACAAATTTAGCAAATGGATTTTCATTTATCAAACAGTCAAAACATCTAATGTCTGAAAAAATTCAGATTCAGCACTTTTTTATGTTATCAAACAGATCCTTAGTAAAACTTTATCCATTTAATTGTGATTAGACATACAGTAAACATTTGAAACTAATAAACAAAAGTTTTACATATGCTCAATTAAGATTTTTATTTTTTTAATGCTCGATTAAACTTGACAGTGTTTTGAGCCTCCAGACATATGCTCTTGCTCAAGTGCTAGGTTCCATTGCTATTTGATAATCCATGAGATTTAACTCTCTTTGATACTTTCATTTTAGAATCCACCAAAATAAACATCATTGACATTAAGTATTTGGTCGTTTACCTCTTATATTTGGAAATCACCGAACAAAATTTATTTTAACGACAACAATAACATCTAAAAATCTGGGATTTAATTTCTTGGACTTTGACTTGTCATTTTGAGAATCATATGATTCTCAATTCGTGAGAGAAGAACACACCCACACCCTTATAACTCTGTATTCAGCTGGCTTTTATCTATTTTTTAATGGGGTTTTGGTAGCCGACCAGTTTTTGGTGTATTTTCAAGATAAGACACCCCTTTGTCTTATATATCAATACATTATCCCATTGTCTTATTCAGTCGGGGCACAAAGGGCAGGGATGGTCATCAGAATGACCGTCCCTGAACAATCAACGGCCAGATTTTGGCCAAAAAAAATGTGTGGTCCAAATCACAAATTGTATATCGATTTTCACAACATGTGTGGGGTTCGCAAATTTTTGTACTAAAGTTACACGTTGTACAAACAAAGTTACGCTGTGTGCAACCAAAGTTACGCGCTGTGTAAAATGACAAAAACCCTGCAACCGTTCCTGCCTGCTGTCCTCAGTCAGGTATTTATTTATAAAACTGAATATCTATCTTTAAAAAAAAATACTGAATATCTTAATCTCAAGCTTAACAATAATAAACATTGGAGTTTGAGATATGAACAGTAAACTTTGGTCCCCTATTAGCACTTGAAGTAGGTGGACAATTCTGTAAATTTGGTCCATTTGTTGTTGATTGATGCCGGTTTTTTGGCGGTGAGCTCATGACACAATCTGTTCCGGCTGGTTATTATTGACTAAATCTTTATTGGGATTTGTAATTTGTAATTGCTTTGTAAGACATGGATGGAGTTCACTTGCAGGGATGGCTGTTTAGTACAATTTAAGAGTTTTGTACAACTGTATGGTCTTCATGGAAAATATGATTTCTTTAAAATAAAAGCTGATTCTTTTTGGAAGTTCGAACTACACCCTCACCATTTAAGAGCTGACTTTTTCTCTTTTTCTTTTTTTTTTAGTTATTATATTGGGTTATTAATTTGAAAAAGCTGATTCTTAAAGAGCCCACAAAATGCTTTTGGAAAGAACTTCTAATTTTTGAAAACGTAAAAGCCAAACAAACATTCTACATTTTCAATACAAATAAAACTTCTTCTGTCCTATATTTGAGTCATTTTTTCAGGAAACTAACTTTTTAAGGGAATATGTAATTATTGTGTCCGAATAAGGTAGATTTGTGTGATTTTACAATACTATCCTCAAATTCAAAATTTAAAAGTATGAGTAATGCATTGGCAGGTGAAAAATGTAACTTTTTCAAATGGTTAAGTAAGTGGGAGAGCTAATAAAATATTATGTTAACCTTTAGAAAATTACTCTCATTTTGAATATTCAAAAAGTGAAAACATAACATTAACAATGGGACGGAAAAAGAGTAGCCACTTTTATATGCATGGAGTTATAAGCGACAATTCCTTTTGCATTATTCCTCTATAAATATGGAAATGGTGTTTGTTCAACTTGTAGAGCGATTAAGTAGCCTAACTCCATGTAATTCCAAAAGTTCTAAGAATGGAAAAGGTTGAGAATCTTGTTGAGCTTCGTGAAGCTCAAGACTATGCAGGGAGCCAAATATTCAACTTCAGAAAATGTGCATCTCTAAAATGTGCAATTGAATTGGGAATCCCAGATGTCATTGCTCAACATGGGAAGCCCATCACGCTTTCTGGCCTCATTTCTGCCCTCCCAATCAACCCTTCTAAATCTATCCACATCCATCGCTTAATGCGATTCTTATCAAATGCTGGCTTCTTTGTCCGGCAAAATGAAGGTTATTCGCTCTCTACTACAGGCCGTCTTCTTTTAAAGAATGAGCCTTTCAATATGAGGGCATTTCTATATTATGTGAGCGATCCTATTGCACTGAAGCCCTGGAATTTCTTGACTGAGTGGTTCAAGAACGATGATCCCTCTCCATTTGATACAGCACATGGGAAAAACTTCTGGTCTTATGCTGCTGCAGAACCTCAATTTGGGAAAATCTTTAATGAAGCCATGGCTGGTGACTCTAGTTTAATCGTTGAGGTGGTGATGACCCAATGCAAGTCTGTGTTTGAGGACCTGACATCTTTAGTTGATGTTGGAGGAGGCACTGGTGAATTTGTTAAGGCCATTGCCCAAAATTTTCCCAACTTAGAATGTCTTGTATGTGATCTCCCACATGTGGTGTCCAACCAACAGAGAACTGAGAACTTGGACTTTGTTGCAGGGAATATGCTAGAGATGGTACCTCCTGATAATGCAATCTTACTCAAGGTAATTAGAGACATCCACCCTCCTTGCTTTAACCATTTGAATTTTTTGAGAAATAAGGTATAAATTGTGCTATACAGTATTTGATGATTCCTAGAAACCAAAAAAAAAAAAAAAGCTCTAATCTTACCGGTTGATTTGGCAAGAGCTAGCGTTGACTTAGATGGCAATCGTAAAAACAGAATAACAATGAATAGTGTTAATTAATCGCAGTTTACACCCTAAACTTTAGAGATTATTTACACTTGGAAAACACACGGGATCCTCAGTGCTACTTTTTCAGTGGCAATTCAGTGTCATTTCTATATTTATGCTAAGTGTCCTATTTATTTAATTTGTCATGTATTGTTTATTTAAATTTCTTCTATCATCATGTGATAAGTGGGATGGGCACTGGATTGGCACCGAGTAGTGGCATAGAGGATCTCAACTGCTTAAAAAATCTAAATTTTGACAATGAAGACAAGCTTTGCATTAAGAAAAAAAAAAAGATCTAACTCCATCCAAAATATGAGTGTAATGACATCTCCCATCTATTATTGTTAAAAGTACATCTTTAGGTGCCACTGTTGTTTAGCATCATATGAGATAGAGGATAATGTTCCAAGTACTAAAAATATAGGGAGAATTGTAATTTTGGTCCCCAATCTATAGTGTATGCTCAGAATTATCCCCAATCTATTTCGAAAATCAATTTTAGTCCCCAATCTATTCAATTTTGCGCTAAAGTGGACAATTGACGGAATCTCTTCAATTTCAATCGGAACTAAGTCGCGTGAGATCACGTGCCGGCACTTAAAACCCCTTTTTCAATTTTTTATTTCTAAAACACGCTTTTTCTAGTGGTTTGGCTTTTGGCATGAACACTCCTGTCCCTTCAGCCAGATCAATTTCCTCCTCGCCAATTCTTTTCCAATCATAACTCTGAATTAGAGATCCCAAGGCCAAACCCACCACCCGCTGTGTTAGGCCAGAACTAGGGCAAGATCTCCTTCCCATCCCAAATGGAATCAACTTTGATGGCTAAACCTGCAAGCCTTCGAATCTCTCTGGCTTGAAGCTTGTTGGATCATCCCATACGTTTGGGTCCCTGTGAACTGCCCATGCATTAACTAGCAAAATTGTGTCTCGCAGAATATTGTATCCCCCAATTTTATAGTTATCGGACGACTCATGTGGCATTAGCATTGGTGCTGCTGGGTACAACTGAAGTGTTTCTAAAATAATGTTATGAAGATAAGGAAGATTGGATAGATCATGTTTGTCGACCAATCGATCAATCCCTACTTGAGCATCCAATTTAGCTTGAGCTTTCTCTAGCACCTCGGGTGGTTGAGCAAAAGAGACAAGGCCCATTCTATAGTTACTGATGAAGTGTCGGTTCTAGCCGTAAGCATGACCTACCAATAATATACTAGTGGTTCAATGAATGCTCATTCCAGTTCAACGGTGAAGAATGGCTAATAGGGAAAGAATATACTTACCAGTATAATTCCTTTGATCATTTGGTCTGTATAATCCCATTGATTTCCAATTATCATCATCCGCTCTTCTCTCTCGGCTGCTTGCTTGCTTGCTTATGAAGTAGTATTGCTGCTGCTGCTCCTGTTGTTTGTGCAGGAGAGTTGAACTAGGTCCGTCTCTGGCGTTGATTGCAGATATCTCTATTACTAATGGAGGCAGGAACGAGACTTGGACTTGGAGGCCAAGCTGAGCTTCTTACTCGTGCTGTGGGTTTTGGGGGTTTGAAGGCAGTGGCCAACAAGAGGAGTAGTTCGGATTGTGAGATTAACCTTTGCATGTCTTTGTTTAATAAAGCTGAAAATATTAAAAAATGTTATTTAGAAATTAAAAAATTGAAAAAGGGTTTTAGGTGCCGGCACGTGATCTCACGTGACTTAGTTCCGATTGAAATTGAAGAGATTCCGTCAATTGTCCACTTTAGCGCAAAATTGAATAGATTGGGGACCAAAATTGATTTTCGAAATAGATTGGGGATAATTCCACACATGCACTATAGATTGGGGATCAAAATTACAATTCTCCCAAAAATATATTCAAGTCATAGTAATAAGATTAAAACAGCACAACTCTCAATTTCATTTTACCCACACTTTTAGATATACGAACCTCGACAAATAGTTTCAAAAATTTTATTGATAAAACTTTTTGAAGAAAAATTCGTTCTTTATACTCAAAAATTTTAATATTAATAAAATAAATTTAAATAGATATTAAGGTAAATGAGATGATCAATAGTGAATTATGGATAAGAAATAACATATATGTGGCTAGTCCTATTTCAAACACAAAAATTGGAGAAAAATGAAATTATTGTGAAACTCTATGAAATTTATTGAAAAACATATTCGAACATACTATTTTTTGCGAAAAAGTAATCCGTTCTTGTCAACTAAACCAACTTGCATTAGCCTTTGTTTAAATATTAAATTCAATTAATTGGATTGAGAATCAATATTCAACTAACTCACAGTAGCCGGGGGAGGGTTATCAGAGTTTTCTCCACTATCAAGTTTAAAATTCGAATCGAGTACCTAGCTTGCTGTAGGGTGGAAGAGGTGGGAGATGGGAAAAAAAACTTGATTAATTGCACACAATTGAAATAGTTTTTACACCTTAAACTCACCAATTTTTATGTCAATTTTCCAAATCAAAATATTAAAGGTCTGCCTATATCTTCTTTTTTTTTTTCCTTTTTTGAACTTGAAGTACCGGATTGATTCAATGTCAAAACAATTGGATATAAGTTCTTGCCTGCTTGGTGGATAATGATACTTGTTGCTGTTAGTCAAATTTGGTGAAGCATTCGGAAACAAAGGTACAGGGGATCGGGCTGGGGCTGGCCGTGAGAAGCCATTGGAATTTGGAGGGAGAGTGCTGGAGAGTGTTAAAATTAAGAAGGGATACAGTCCGGGGTTCAAGAGCAGAACAGTTTTTTTTTCCTTTTTCTTTTCGGTTATATTTGTCCACAACATGTAACTCAACAGGGAGTTGGAGGTTCCTTTTTTAACTTTTTGAACGAATTGCACTTATTCGCTTTATAGAAACTAATTGAGGCATCTTGTTGTGGCATTAGATTTTCTAGCTTTGATTTTGTTCAAGACATCTAATTGCCCAATTATATAACTACAGAAATTTCTCTCCCATTTTGCCTGAACCAATATAACAAATTCATGATTACTTTTATTATCATACTTCACAGATTACTTGTAAAACAGCTTAGAGAATAGAGAGTGCAAATAACCACTACCATCAGACTATTGGAAATTATTTGTTCCTAACATTCTTTTCTGTCAAAATAAAGAAAAACACAGGAACAATATATCCATTCGATGCATGAACTATGTAACTCAGCTTGCATAGATTTATAAGTACTATAATTTTTTCCGCCGACTGAGACATTTTGCTATGGCCACAATAATACTACACAAATCTTGAAACCTGTTACTAGCCTCTGTAAGTTCGATTGGTTCAGCCAGACCAGTGTCATTGAAACCCCTCTCACACTTAATTTCAGCATCAACAATATCAACGGCTTTGTTTTTGAGGGACTTAGTGGTCACGAGCAATCAATAACTTGCGGGACTCACCAATGAGTCCAATGGTGGATTTGTAGTCACCCAAGCACTGGTCTAATTGACACCCGGATTCTGGAATCTGTTTGATTGTTCAGAAGTGAGCTGATCAGGTTGCATGCTTACTCGGCAGCAGCATTTGACACGTCCAGCAATTTTTTGCAAAGGATCTTACGATCATAACCACGAGGTGGTATAGGATTTGATCTGAGAATTTGATCACACAGCTTTTTTTTTTTTTTTTTTTTTTTTTTTTTTGTGTAAGCGGGAGGACTCGAACCCGAGACCTCTTGCTTACACTCCCTCCCCCCGTACCACCCAACCCAACCCTCCCCCCTCACACAGCTTAATGTTTCGTGTATCATAAACAAATCTCACAGATTTATGCAATGCAGCAACGAGAGGATTACAGTTGCCTTGATTTGATTGTTGCTGTTGTGTCAAGAACCAAAAAAAAAATGTGGGTCTCATCTTCTCTCCGATACTTAAGCAAGCAAGGACTGCAATGCAGTCTAGACCCCTTTTTTTTGAAAGAAAGGTTGCATTGCAGAATATTATGAAGCCAAGTTACGTGCAGGTTTGCAGTTCGTGCGAAACAATAATGACAATAGATTTTGGATCAGCCTCACCTCCACCGACATAATTCAAATTTTCCACGAGAAAAGGCTCCTTGTGCAACTGTTACCATCACAAAAGGGGAAAAAAAAAAGTCTGATGATGTCAATTTGATGCTTATAAAGTTATTGGATAACTTGGTTGATTAAATATTAAAGGGAACGAACGAATGAGCTTGGAATGTTTCCCGCTATCAGGTTCATGATTCAAATCCTGTATCTGAGAGTTAGGAGCAGAAAGAATGTAGGGTGGAAGGAAAAAATAAAACAAAAGAATATCACGAGGAAGATCTTAAATACTTGCACTACCATTTTGTTCAATCAAAAAGAAAATACTAGATTTTGTTAAGCAGATAATGCATCATTAACTAGATTACACAGATTCAAAGAAACTAATACTCATGTCTTCCCCAGAGACGTTCTGCAATGGCAATATTAATACTACCAAAATCCAGAAACCTTTGACTGGCCTCTATAAGTTGGATTGGTTCATCCGCACCACTAATGTTAAATTTCATCTTGCAATTAGCTTCGGCACTGTCAATGTTAATTGCTTTCCACTAGAGGTCTTCATATTCAAAAGCAATCAAGTGTTTGTTCGACTCGCAGTAAAAAAATCACCTATAATAAAAACTATGGCTTAAATATTGATATTGTTAATTTTTTGTTACTATATATGTCTTTTTTTGGATACTTCTAATTAATATGTACTATGTGAAACAATTCTCGTTGAAATTTAAATTATTTGCAAACAATAGAAGATATCTTCCTTCTGTAAACAATAAGAGCCTTAAGAAATTAAGAGTTTCTACCAAAAAAAACTTTAAAATATTGGAGTTTAAGCATAGCCATAGATAGATAATTGACCAAGAACGGCTCCATGCCTACCCTTACATAAAATAAGTTCGGAGGACAAGATTCTTCTATAAAATACTATGAAATGCCTAGATAAGATCTGCATTTAATGCTTCATATCCTTTAGATGTTTTGCAATAACCACAGTAATATCGCCAAGATCTTGAAACTTTTTTCCGGCCTCTTTAAGTTGGATTGGTTCATCCAGACCCTTTTCTACAAATCCCGTCTCACAATTACTTTCGATTACCTGGTTATTGACTGCAATTTTATAGAGCCCATCATAGTCACGAGCAATCAAGGAGTTGTTGGCTTTTGCAATGCCTCTAATACTCAGTTCATAAGCATACAAGCACAAGTCTAATTCATGCAGGATCTTGGGATCTGATTCATTTCTTTTAAGTGAGCCGATCAAGTTGTATGTTGACTTGGCATCAGCATTTGACACAGCAATTGAAGCTTGGCAAAGAATCTTAAAATCTAAGCCTTCAGGGGGTAGAGGATATGATCTTAAAGCTTCTTGACAAAGCGATTCATTTTTTGTCTGAAAGCAAACGACATAGATCAAGGCATCTGGAGGCTCGTTGGTGGTAGCCGCCAATGCTGGAACGCTACACTTCTGAAAAAGAAGTGAAAGGAAAATTGATAATGATAAGGACAAGTCCATCTCCCCCCTTTTTTTTTAATATGATCAGGCATAATTTTGCTAAAACGAATGGTACTCTTTATAGTGCGCATGAACACAAGCAGGACAGAAACTGCAATTTTAGCTGTTTGGAAATTTAAGCGACAGCAAGGAAATATTAATGACAATTGGCAAGTATTATTGGATAACCCCTTAGTAAAATGTGCATTTTTGTTTTGTCAACACGATAGATTCTATTCTACATTTACTTCTACTCTATGCTAAAAAAATGAGGAACCTAAAGAGGTCAAGGAGAACCCGGTGAACCACCACCAATACAGACCGGTGTCTACGCACCCATTGATAAAATTTTCTAGAAGAGCCTGGATATTAGAATGCGGGCCAAACAATTTGATCTCTTGACTTACATCCAAATAGAGTTTTAAAACTTTCTTCGTGGCCACTCTAATAGTTGGTTATTTCTTGGTGGCTACTCTAATAGTTGGTTAAGTAAACTTTGCATTCGCAAGGGCATTTTTTTTTTCAAAATTTTTTATTTTTAGATGAATACGGAGACAAAAGAACTAAAATTAAAAAAAATTGTTAAATTTGAGATACTAAATATATGACAAACCATGAAACTAAATGAAATAAAAATAGTTACTCTCGCATAAAACAATGATCATTAGTTGTCAACAAATCTTAATCCAGTGATGGAAAAGTATCATGTGAGAAAAGTAAATATATTGGGGAGTATATTAATATTCGATTGTTTCCTAAAAAATATAAAGAAAAAAAATTAAAAAGGAAAATCCTTTAAAGGAAAAAAAAAAAAGATATCCACATAAATAGCAACTGGTCATGATTGTAAAAGGACTATATAAAGAAAACCAAGCACTTTTCCAAATCTATGCTTGTGGCAAAAAAAAAAAATTTGGCCTGTAATAAGTTGCTAAGAAATTTGTATATAAAGGAGAAAACATAATGAGCAATGAAGAAATTCAAAAAATATAACTGATTATAAAACTTAAATGTATATGCTAAAAATGTGGAATACCAAAAGATTAAAAAAATTAAAATTGTCAACTTTTTAGAACTATTAACAAATCAAGCCAAATAATAGAAATAGCAAAAGCTATGAGTTGATTAATTAAAAAATCAACGCAGAATTAATGATTTAGTAAACCAAAATTAATAGTGTTTGAAACTACGGACTCATGGATACAAAAAAAAATAAAGAAAGATCAATTCAATAAAAATGCATATATAGCAAGAAATCAATACATTGATTAAAATTTGTTATAAATAAGGAAGTTATGAACTATAAGAAAATAAAAGTTGTACAAATTTTAGTAATAGTAAGTTCTAATATATGATCAATCCAAATAAAAACAATACGAAACGTGATTGGAGAGAATTCAAAATAAGGAAAAGTATAAGTTGATTAATAAAAGATTTAGCAAGGCATAATTAATAATTATATATATATAAGGAAAAAATTAATATTTTGATTACAAGTTGCTATAAATAAGAGAGTTAATTGTTACCAAAATGAAAGGAAAAAAAGTAGGGAATCAATATGTTGATTAAGATTTGTTATAAATAAGGAAATAAAGAATTATAGAAAAATTAACACATGTCCAAATTTTAGTAATAGTAACTTCAAATATATAATCAAATCAAAAAATAAAAATACAAAACTTGATTAGAAATGAATTAAAGAAAGGAAAACTATAAGTTGATTGATAAAAAGATTTAGTAATCCGTAATTAATACAAATATATATAAGACAGAAACTAATAAATTGGTTGAAAGTGGTTATAAATAAGAAAGAGAATTAATTATTACCAAAAAAGTAGAGAAAGAATATAAAACACCCAAAAAAAATTACAAAAGTGCATGTGATAAAAAGATAGGTGGTCTACTTGGCAGAAGGATAAAGTAACCAATTCATCTACTTACTAAACAGGAATTGAATAGCATTTTATTAGATGTACTAGTATTTAACCTATCCCTTGAATGAGATTGAATATAGTTTGGTAAAAATATTGGCAAATTTGAAAATTATAAACCATATTATAGGTAAACGTCAAAGGTATCTTGTTCCTTTTAGGCATTGATTGACTATTGTAATGAAGATAAAGCACTTAAAAAGTTGAATTATTACCAACTATAAACTGCTAAGAACCTGCCCAAATTAAATATATTAAATATAGTAATTACAAAAATTAAAGGAAAAATTCAGTGGAAAAAAGATGGGAATGATTCTTGTTAACAAATATAAAACATTTAGAAGCTGACCCAAATAAAAACACTCAAAAAGATGACCATATTAAATATAAAAAACAATTAGTATGAAAATTAAGGAGAAAAAGAGGAATTGATTCTTGTCATAAAAATAAAACAATTAGAAATTTAAATTATTACCAAAACTAAAACATTAAACGCTATCCACATTAAATATTAAAAACAATAATATGGAAATTAAGGAAAAATGGGTGGAAAAAAGATGGATTTGATTTCATTAACAAAAATATAGCACTCAATAATTGAC